TTTGTTTTACCTACCCAAGCCCCCAAAAGCACCCAGGCAAGAGTACCTCAGTATTCTTTTGGGCTCCAGGTGGCTTATCTGACTGAAACCATTGCAGGTGACACAGGCATAGAGGAAGAAGTGGAACTGGACAAGTGTCCATGGCAGTCTATCCATCTCTTTGTGCATACCTTGTACCCTGAGATTCAGCCCCTCAATAAATATAGGAGGTAGCTGGTGGAGGATTGTGGGTCAGCAAAACACTGTCTCCCAGGTCACCCATGCCCTGAGAAGCTGGGGAGATCAATGACCATGCTCTTCTTCATGGATGAGAGAGGGATAGCCATGTCAGAGGATAATCAAAGAAATGAGCAAGCAACCATGCCCAGCCACCACGCACCAGGCAAAGTGTAAATGTACCCGCTGACAAGTACAAAACTGGGAGGAAATATATCCAAGAAAAATGGCTGGTCGTAGCTATGAAGGATATTTGTTAAATAAGTAGCAAATTTTGTGGAATGTCAGAGCTAGACGTGACCCTGGAACAGAAAACATCAGAGATTGAGCAGATCATATTATCATGACAGAATTCCAGAGCTGAAAGGGACATTGGAACCCAGAACATCACTGCTTCAAGGGGACCTCTGACTACATACACTGGCCACACTAGAAGGGTCCTCAGCATGCAGACAGGCAGAGTTGGGAGGGTCTTCAAAACACTGAATATATTTGTCAAAAGGGTATTTGCCTAACTTCACACAGTTAACGCTACAGATCTTCCCAGTTATGGAGTGAAAATGAGGTCATCTATTGGTACAGTTGCTTGTCATTTTTGATCCTTCAAAGCTAATTAAGACCATAGTCTTCCTTCCTCTGTTTGACTTCTGGCAGAACCTGGGACATATACGGTGAAAATGCAGTCTACCTAATTCTGGAGTGAATCCCTCCCCCCTGAGTGATTTCTCACAATAACTAAATAAAAAAGGGAAAGAAAGAAATTTTTCAGTTGCCAGATCATACAAATGAACCCATGCAAGCCCAGCAGAGCTGGGTCTGGTCAAGTGTCTGGTCTAAGACTGGATTTGAACTCAGGTCCTTCTGTCTCCAGGACCGGTGCTCTTTTCACTGAACCACCTAGCTGCCCCTGTCTGAATTTATTTTGGAAAGTGAAAATAACCTCCCAAAGGGAAATAAATGCCGAGACAAGGGCTGCAAGGCCAGATGGAGTTGGAGTTAAGATTAGCTGCCCTCTTTCTTTACCTGTAAACTTTCTTTAACATAGGCATTTTTAGCTCAGATGAGAGGTGATGGCAACACTAGCTCTTCTCATACTGAGAACCCTGATTCTGGGGTCAGAAGGCACACAGGTCCAAGCTCCAGCTCCACTTCTGGACCTTGAGGTGGTGATGAGAATCAGGGCCTCATTTTTCTCATCCTAAAATGGGAATAGTTGTTCTCACAAATGCACGAAGCACTCCATCATCACCCTAAAATAATACGTTGTTTTCAGTCATGTCTGACTCTCCATGATCCCATTTGGGGGTTTTCTTGGCAGAGATACTGAAAGCAGTTAGACATTGCTTTCTGTAGCTCGTTTTACAGATGAGCAAACTGAGGCCAACAACACTTCAGTGACTTGGCCAGGGTCACACAGAGAGTAGGTATCTGCAGCCAGATGAAGAGTGCTGGGCTATAAGTCAAGAAGACTCCAGTTCCAGTACTGCCTCAGACACCTACTGGCTGCATGTGGCCCTGGGCAACTCACTTAGCTGCTGCCTGACTTGTTTTCCCCATCTGAAAAATGGGGATAATAACAACACTTACCTCCCAATGTTGAGAGGATAAAAGACAACCTTTACAAAGTGCTTTGCAAACCTTAGAGAGACATAAGGACTAGAGCTATTATTGTTATATCATTGATATTGGTATTATTACTCTTCCCCCAGCAGGGCACAAACATTTCCAAGTTTAGATGACGCAGCTGGAGATGGGCCCCCATTTGATCCACACTCTTGACTAAATTAGAAGAGTTTCTGAACAATTCCCACTGAACCCTGGCTGCCCATCTGCCCCTCGGCCAATTCTGGGCCCCTCAGACTCACAAGTGGCCCAAACTGGGAGGGAGAGAACTTGGAAAGTCTGAGCTGGGAGGGGCGTCAGAATATAGGACATGGACTGTCAGGGCTCGGAGGGAAAGGTAGAGCGAGAGATCCTTGGAACATGGGCCATCAGGGTGGATGGGCATCTCAGAACCTTCTGTTGTTCCTTGCCTGCTCCTGGGGGTCAGCCGTGTCACCGCAGTGCCAGTCCAGGTACCCGCCGAACTCTGATGCCTCAGGCCCACGACTCCATCTCCCCTACCAGCCCACCCTTGGCACTGCTGCTGGCCCAGGCCAGGCTTCACAGCTCCTTGAGCAAGAACCAAGAACCTCCCCAACAGCAAGAACTCCACATCATGTCAAGAAAAACATTTCATTAGGCTACCCTCAAAACTCTGGAGCCCAACATCAGCCTCAAACTAGCTACCTAGCACTTATATATAGGTAGGGGGGGCTGCCAGCTCATTGTGTGGGTGCTTCAAGCGCTGCTGGCCCTCAAGCTCGCTCGCAGCTTCTTGGGGTCTCGGTCTATGCTGCCCCCAGGCCTGGCTCCCACTGCAGCTCTAGAAAGGCCTTTGGCTCCAAACTCGCCTTTGTGTTTGCCTACACTAAAACAACTTCAATTCTTAAACACATGCACAGTCATTCTGAATTCATGTGAGAGCCACGAGGGACCTTGCCAACCCTCCTCACGGCTTCTTCAGGCCATAGGACATGCCTACAAGTAGCTGGGCCCCGGCAGCAGCGGGGAATGCCAGTCAACCGAGCCGGTGCGCCTGTGCTAATGCAGTTCACTCTTGTCGAATATGTCCTCCAGGCTTGGACTGGGGATGGTCCCAAAGAGCTGGTCGATGTCAGGAGACATGTAGTACTGACGGATGATGGCCTGGCTGAGCTGGGACCCTGGGGCAAGAGACAGAGGTCATGCCAGAGCAGGAGGCTCACAGGGAGATGCCACCCAGGTACTGATGACTGCCCCCTCAAGGCTATTCCAAACCTTCCCTTCTCTCCTCAAGCCTCCCACATCACCCCTGGTACCATGAGCCCTGACAGCTAAGAACCTTCCTCCTCCTCCTCCTCCCCACAAAGTTACCCTTCTCCCCTTCTGAGGCCTCTGACCTCAGGCCCCAGCTTCTCCTTTTTTCCCATCTTCCATGAGGAGGTGGTCCTTCTGCTCAGCAAGGCCAAGTCCTCTCCAGCTGCCTTAATCCCAACTCTTTCTCTCTAATCTTTTCTGTTTCCCTCTCCAGTGGGGCTGCTTCCCTTGTCTCCCTTATCCCTGAAGACGCCTTAGGAGAGCCTGCCCTGCTACACCTCTCTTCCCCTTCCCCTCTCTCTGCCAAACTCCTTTAAAAAGACAGACTCTCACTGCCCCCCTTCCTCTCCTCAGTTCTTGCAATATGGCCAGCAGTGTCCTAACTACCAAACCAAACAATGCTTCCCTGACCTTTACCTTTCTTCATCTCTCTGTTGCTGATAGCACTACTAGGTGCCTTCTCCTTTCCTGGTTCTCTGTCTCAGCTTTCTTTGTTGAGTCTACTTCCAGATCGCCCCCTAACCATGAGTATCCCCCAGGGCTATATCCTGGGCCCTCTTCCCTGTTCTCTCCATATGATCTCATTTGGTGACGTCATCAGCTTTCATGAGTTCAACTACCATGTCTACATAGCATGTACCCAGCCATCACCTCTCTCCTCAGTGCCAGCCCCAAATCACCAATTGCACACCAGATATTTCAAACAGGATATCCCACAGACATCTCAAACTCGGAATATCCAATGTCCAGAATTCTTTCCCTCTCCCCTCGTCCACACTTCCCCCTTACTGCTGAGGGTACTGCCTACTTTGCTCACAATCTCAGTGTTACCAACTCCTCACTCCCTCTCATCCCACATGATCCATCAGTAGCCAAAGTTTTTACTTCCTATTTCCACCTTATTGACATAGGTCCTGCCATGCCACTCTAGTTCATGCAGGCCCTCGTGGCCTCACCTGCACTAGCACAGTGCCCTCCCAATTGGTCTCCCTGCCTCCAGCCTTTCCCCACCACCACCCATCCTCCACAAGACTACAAAGGGATTTTTCTTTCTTTCTTTCTTTTTTTTTTCTTTTTAGTGAGGCAGTTGGGGTTAAGTGATTTGCCCAGGGTCACACAGCTAGTAAGTGTCAAGTGTCTGGTCTGAGGCCGCATTGGAACCTAGGTCCTCCTGACTCCAGGGTCGGTGCTGTATCCACTGTGCCACCTAGCTGCCCTCAAAGGGATTTTTCTAAAGCCCAACAGGGCACATCCCTCCCCTACTTAGCCTCTAGGTCAAATAGAAACTTCTGTTGGCATTTAAAGGCCAAGCTTCACAACTTGCTCCCAGCCTACTTTCTACCCTTGTTAGACATTGCTCTCCTTTAGTATACTATAGTCCAATTTAACAGGGAAGACATTTCTAACTGTTTAAGAGATGGGAGTCTACACTTACCGCTGGCCCAAGCAGGAGTAGGCTTTCGGGGCTGGTTCTCATCATCTGTGGAGTCATCACTATGAAGATCCATGCCATAGTTATCATAGCTGTTCTTGGGGCCTCCTGCAGGGTCCTGTGGGGTCATTTCATAAGAGCTGCAAACTAGATTCTGAAGAAGGAAGGAGACTTTTTTATCTCTTCTTGACATACTGAAGGGCACCTTGGGCTGCCAGAGCTGGAAGGACCTTCTGAAATGATCCAGTCTAAACCCTTCCCCACCACCCAGACTGATGAGGAAGACTGAAGTGCACAGTGGCCACAGGCCAGGACTAAGACTGAGGATATGTGTCCACCTCTCTGAGGCTCAGTTGCTCAACCTGTTAAGTATGGATAATTCACACTCTGGCTCCTAACACAAGGTTGCTGGGAGTCTCAGAGGAGAGAATGTCTATAGAGATGATGACGTCAACAGAAGTCACGGTTTGTGAGGAGTCTGTCTTGTGCCCAGCAGAGCCCGAAGGCACATTTTCTGGGAATGTGTGGACCTCTCCTCGATAAGCTGGCCCTCACGGGGCTAGTGGGGCACTGTCAACTCTTGCTGGACCAAGTACCCGATCGCTGAGGATAAAGGGGAAAGAAGATGGAGACAGCCTCCTCTTGATGCAGTAGCCCTCTATCATTAGGTAAACCTTTGAGGACACTTCTGAGAGGCCAGGAGCTTTTGGCCTTGACCTTCTGCTGACTGAAAAAAGCTAAACGTCAGTAAATGGTACAGAAACTGGAGTCTGGTCCTGGCCACTGCTTGCAGACAGAGCTGAGGCATGGCCTAGGCTGAAGTGACCAAGCAGGGCTTGGTCCATGTGGTGGGTGGTCCAGAAGGGAGACTCTGAGGTCACAGAATAGTGGGGAGGTTCAGAGTTTTAGAGCTAGAGGGGACCTCAGGGGTCATTAAGTCCATCTCCCTACCCCATTTTGCAGAAGAGAACCTTGGGGACCAAAGAAGCTATGAGATCACACAGCTAATGCTCCATGCTGATAGCTGAAGCCCAGTCCAGTGTTCTCTCACTGTTTTGTCATTAGCCCCCAGTGGTCTCAAACATAGCCATGGGCTATAGCCATCACATGGCATTCACCACGCTAGCCCCCAAACAATCCAACTTTGTAAGGGGGTAGGCGTGGCTAGACGGTAGCTCATGTGAGAAGGACCCAGGGCTTTTAGGGGACTGGAAGCTCAGTGTGGGTCACCCGAGTGACCATGGCATTCCAGAAAGCCAGGGAGAGAGAGAGAGCTGCTAATGCCCCAAGACAGGCAGGTGGGCAGGGATTCCGAAAAGAAGGAGGAAGCACTGGTGCCCTCTGGTCTCTGCCCCCCTCCTAGGCTCAGGCTACAACCAGAAGCTGGACAGTCCCAGAAAAGGGCAATCCAATGCCAGAGGACTTGGGACCACTGAGCCAGGAGGAGAGAAGGCTAAGGGGCAACACACTGGGTCTGTCTCTTCCTGTCCATGCAGGGTGGGCAGAAGCAATGGCAACAGGCAGAAGCCACAAAGAGGTCACTCTGGGCACCTCCTGACACTCAGAGCTGTCCAAAAACACAACAGGCTGCCTTAGCAAGTAATGGGCTTCCCGACCCTGGGAGGTTGAATGACCATTTGCCCCAGCACTGGAAAAGGAGCCAGGGTGGGCTTGGCTAGTGGCCTAAGAGCCTCCTGGGAGCCTGCCTTTCTACAGCTCTGGGCAGGTCACACCTCCTAGCACCTGTATGGCCTTGCCAGGTGAGAAGGGGGCGGGCAGGGAGCCACAGGTGGGGCCTCACCTGCACATCCACCTTTACATTCCAGCATTTGTTACTGACCCAGGCAGCAGCTGCAGCGTCCTTGGCCTTCTCCTGCTCCTCCTGCAGCTTCTTTGGCTCTTGCTGTTGACGGTGACACTCCTCCTGGGGCCAATGCAGCACACGAGTGAGTCCTGGAAACCCACCTGCCCCCCACCCTCTGCCCGGTTCCCAGAAAAAGCCCAAGAGACCAGGGGCAGCAGCCTCAGAATGGGCCATGGAGAGAAGGGGGACGGCTGTAGCCACGCCCAAGGACCCGTCTGTGCACAGATGAGGAGACCAAGGGCCATCCCCACCCAGTGCCTCACCTTCTTCCTCTTCTCCAGTTCCCACAGTAATCTCTTCTTCTCTTGCAGCTCCCTGAAAACCAAACACCCAACCTCATTAGTCACCAGCAGGAAGGGGGCCAGAGGGCTGACCCTCACCCAAATCCCACCCTGCCACTATCCCCAGGGCTTAACACATCACTCTATAGCTGCTGGTGGCAACTGGACAGAGGATTTGCAAAAAGGAGAAACATCAGAAGGAAGCCAGTAGAATGTAAGCTTCCAGAGGGCAAGACGTGGTTTGTTTCTGTCTTTGTAGCCCCAGTACCTAGAAACAGTGGCATGTACATAGTAGGCACTTAATAAATGCTCAGTGAAATGTATTTTCTGTTGTATCTATTCCAAGAACGTTCTCAAACATTCTTCTGGCAGAGGAAAGGTGGAAGGTAGGTGTCTGAGCCCTTGTGTTTCTCTCCAGTACCACAGTGCCATCAGTTATCCCAAGCTGGGACATCTGGTGAAGGAGCTGGGAACTGGCACTGCCTCCCACCAGAGCGCTCCTACCTCTTTAAGGCCTCTGAACAGGCCCCTGGGCTCAGGCACTTGGAAGACCCTACAGAGATGGTGCAGAGACCAAATGAGACCCTGACGTAAGTGCTTTGAAACTAAACGAAATGATTAATGTAAGAGATGCATAAGTATATGGATGGAATTTCTTATCTGGACCAGCAATTTCGTCAGAGCAGGGAACCTGGTGTGGAAACTGCCCCACCCAGTGTAGATGGGGCCACACGGCATGAATGAAAGGGCTCTCAGCCACACTACAGAGAGGCCACATCTACAAGGGGGAGAGGCTGGAACCACACTGACATGGTGGAAGTATCTCTACGAAAGAAGGAGCAAGCTGATGGGGGAAGGGCCAATCAAATTGTGATCTATGCATGGAATAGAATATTATCATGCAGCCAGAAATAACCAGTGAGACATTCAGGAAGACTCCTTTGACCTGGTACCGACAGAAGGAGACCCAGGAGAAGACCAGGCCTGATGACAGAAAGCGTCAGCTGAAAAGTGGAAGGAAAGGACAATGTGGACTGAAGAGTCACATGATCCCTTGTTCCCAGGACTCGTGCCCTTGGCTGTAGGGAGGTGGAGGGCACAGTGTTGCAGCTTATCTTTCCTTTACACAAGGAAGAATTCAGTGGGAGGAGGAAAGGGAGCATGTCTCTCAAAGACATTACTAAAACTTATTTTTAAAATACATAAATAAAAATAAACACTTCCTTGGGCTTGAATCCTTCTGCCAACAATTACTATTTGTGTTATAAGCAAGTCTCTTAACTCCTCTAAGCCTCAGTTTTCTTATCTGCAAGATGAGGATAATACCTGCAAATGCAGGCCTCTTAAAAGCATTGTGAGACTTTAAAACAGTGAAGGAGATGGGCCTAGCTGCCTACACTGGAAAACAGAGTAGATGAAGAATACATCCTGCCCCCATTATCCCACACAGTTGGTCACCCCAATGGGTATATACATGGATAAAGGGAAAAGGCCTTGACTTAGTAACTGATCTGCTCTAGGCTGAGTGTGAGGGATCAAGATGCTCACTTGAGTCCTAGATAAGATGAGCTGGGCCCAGAACAGTGCAGGAAAAATGGAGCAGAACAGGGTCTGTCTGGAGAATCGTGTGGATCCTCCCTGACCCCAACTGCTCCCTGACCTGAAAACCCATCGTCTCCACAGACCTACGCTACCAGCAACACCACCACAACCTCGGGCTCCCCCGAGGCCGTGGGCGAGTCTCATGACAGTGTCCAATTATCACCCCCACTTTTCAGGAAAAGAAACCGAGTCTTGGAGTGGGGAAGGGATGGGCTTAAGGCCACACTGAGAGTAAATGATAGAGCCAAGACGTGAGCCTAGATCTCACCTGCACTCTGGAACATCGCCCACTTGCCCTGCTGCCCAAGCACAGCTTGGCAAAGCCCCTGGAGTCGGGCCGGGGGTCTGCTGGGATCTCATTCACACTCAGTCTCTCACAGTGACATATACACCCAATCCCTGTGACACACATTCACAATCTCACAGCCTCTCTCTCTCTCACACACACACACACATACACACACAGGCAGAGAAGGCATGACCAGTGGGCAGGCCCTCACCACTTTTCCTGCAGCTTCTCGGGCTCCCTCTCAAGGGCCAGCTGCTGCTTCTCCTGCTCCATGATTCTCCGGGCCTCAGCCACCTTCCACAGACGCTCCTCTTCTTCCTTCGCAGCTGTTCCTGGCACCTCCGCTTTTCCTCCTCCTGGAGCTGGGAAAGAGAGGGAGACCATTCAGGCAGGCCAGGTGAGGTTGGGGTGAAGCGGGCACAGCAGAGCAAAACCCTTGGCCCCTTCCAGCTCTAAATTAATGACTGTACAGGAGCCATCCTTGTTCAACCCAAATGTCCAAACTGCCCATGTGTTTGACTGCGGAACTAAGTTCTGGGCTAAAGAACAATTAGGCTTAGCCCACCAGAAAGAAACAGGCCAGTGAGGGAGAGCACTCATCCCAGAAAGAAGCCACCTCTTCCTGTCACTCAAGGAATCTCTCTCTTTTAGTGCCCCCCGCCCTGACCTTTTCTTTTTCATGATGCGTGGCTTGGGTCACCTCATCTGTTCCTTACCAAGAATTCTGGGAGGCAAATAGAATTTTACAAAAGAGGAAACTGAGGCAGGCAGCAGTTAAGTGACTTGCCTAGGGTTGCACAGCTACTAAGTCTTGAGGCTGGATCTGAATTTTGGTCCTCCTGACTCAAGGCCCAGCATACTGGGCCCTACAGCTAGCTGCCCCACAAGGAAGGGGTGTGTCTCAGCCCTCATCCAGTGAGGCCTAAGGAACTGACGATGGGCAGCTCTGCTCCTGCCTCCTTGGGCCTCCATCTCTCCCCCCTGGGATGCCCCCATCCTGCTCCACTTCCCTGCTGAAGCCTCTTCCGCCTCCTCCAGCTTCTTAGCTTTCTCCCTGGCCTCCTCCTCAGCCAGTCGCTCCTCCTTTGACTGCCAGCCACCAACACTGAGCGACCAATCCGACCCCCTCGTTTTACAGGTGAGGAAACATAGGGCGCAAAGGCCTGCCTCAGTTTCCCCGTCTGCAAAAGATCTCTTACAGCCCTCAGGTCGTCGTCCGGTGAGGCCAAGGGCCCGCCGGGGTAGACGCGCCTCCACGAGGCTGGCCCCCCCTACGGGGAGAAGAGGAACCCCCCCGGAGAGGACGAGGACGCGGCGGGGGCCTCACCTAGCTTGCTCCAACACGCCCAGCCTGCCTCGCCCCGCGTCTCGAGGTCCTCGACTCCGGGGAAGACGACGCCGCCGCTTCAGTAGACGAGGTCTGAGGCGGGAAGCCAGGATTTTGAAAACAGAAGGCGTGGCCGATAGCGGGAAAGGCAGACCGGGCCGCTTATTGGCCCTCCTGGGTGACAATCAACGCCGATCCGAGGCGAGGTCAACGCCTTGCTTTCCACTTTTGGTCCTGGAGGCACCCCGGAGGGGAGGGGCGGCGGCCAAATGCTCTGAGAGGCGGGGGAAGACCAAAAGTCCCGGCGTGCCTCGCGGTGGCACCGCCCCCCCCCCCCTCCCCTGTTCCTTAACACTTAGTTACCGGGCTTTTATTAACTTCTCCAGGCCTATGTTGTAGCTGTCCCGTAGACGTAAACTTCTTAATGATTAATCTCAGAACCTCCAGAATCTGTTAAGATGTCTTTACTTGTATCTAATTTTTAACTCTAGGTCTAGGCTGGTCAGGCCTGGACCCACATGGAAAGGAGTTTTACAGGTTTGTTGTTTTCCTGGCTGCAGTCTTTCGAAGTCTCTGGCTACCTGCATTTTATATCTTACAAGGTACAGACACAGAGACACACTGACAGACAAACTGACAGGACAAATACAATACAAACATAGTGTTCACTTAATGACACAGAGAGAGGGAATTAGAGGCTTGTTAGAAAACCCCCAACACTAATTAGCTATTAGTATTCCAAGGAAGGGGGTTGGGGAATTTGCAAGGATCCAAGACCTGAGAGTGTAACTGGACCTTTTGAGTCTTGCTCAAAGTGTCCCTGAGATTGCAGAATCAAAGGGGCAAGTCCCAATGAAGTTAAATTTGGGGATCTGAGTCCCCATCAGGACCATGCATAGAGTGCAGGAATGGAAAGCCAGGTCCTGCCCACAGTGTACCATTACTAACTGCTCAGGGAATCATTATGTTGAGGAATTCTCTCCACTGCTTGGGAGCTTTTAGCGTCCCATGACTGAGGGTCAAGGATAGGAGGCCAGCTAAGGAATTGGCTCTGGCTAACAGCACATTCAGCTTCCTGGGGGTAACCTTTCAGGCCGTCTTAGAGTATATAGGCAATCAGCAGCCTTCTGTGGTAATTTAGGGTGCATAAATAACGCATTTCCCAGGAGAGGGAGGGATGGATCAAGGGGGGGGGGTCAGCCAAGGGAGAAAGGGGAGTACTTGGAATGAAACTGGCAGGATTTATTATCAGTAAGAAAACATTCCCTGCTTAAGACCAGGACACAAGGAGAATTGTAAAAGCAGGACACAATTGTAAAAGTAGTCCTTTTAGAGAACTGTAGGGTCTGTGATCCAAAGACAACAAGTTGGTGTTACAATAATAGATGAGACCATCTGTTTTACTATGTCCTTATATAAGGGTTGGGGACTTTCTAACATTATTAGGTTACCAAGTGGATGGGGGGTCGGTGCTGTGGGATTTCTTCATGGTTGTCCATCTAGTTCATCCAGATGTAGTGAAATGCATAAATCATTAGCATTTCTATATATTACCAAACAAAATCCAGCAGCAAGAAATAAAAAGTAATTCCATTGAAAATAACTGTAAATGATATAAAATATAAAATCTACTTGCCAAGACAAACCCATTTGAATATGAGTACAAACTGATTGTATATGAATACAATCACAAAACACATTTCACACAATAAAGTCAGATCTAAACAATTGGAAAAATATTGCTCATGGGTAGATGGAACCAATATAATAAAAATGGCAATGCTGCCTAAATTAATCTATTCAGTGCCAGACCAATCAACTACCAAACAATTATTTTATAGAGCTAAAAAGATATATAAAAAACAAATTCATGTGGAGAAACAGAAGGTCAAAAATACCAAGGGAATCAATGAAGGAAAAAAAAAACCATGAAGGAAGGTAGCCTAACCTTACCAGATCTCAAACTATCATAAAGCCATAATTATCAAAACAGTTGGGTAGTGGCTAAGAAAGAGAATATTGGATTAGGTACACAATACACAGTAGTAAAGGACCACAGTAATCTGGTGTTGCATAAACCAAAGACTCAGACTACTGGGACCACAACTCCTCTCTGACAAAATTGCTGGGAAAACTCAAAAATAGTTTGGCAGAAACTAGGTAGAGACAAACATCCTGCAAATTGTCGTTTGTCCTTTTTTCTTGAAGAGGACCATGACATCAGGGAAGTGATGCCAGGACTTGCAAGTGAATGGGATTTAAGTGAGGGAGGGCTGTGCAAAGTGACCGCCCTCACTTTCTCCTCTGGAGTATCTGGGTCCAGTGGCCAGATATAGATCAGGATGTCTGGAGATGACCCCAGCTGCAGTGGGAGACCTTGGCCTTTTTCAGCTAAGGTCTTTCCCAGGTCTCAGTTTGACTGAGGCAATGCCCATTCAGTGCTTAAGGCTAGGTAAGTAGAAATAAGGAAAGGAATGGCCTGTTTTACCAGTCAGGAAAACAAACAAACCAACCAATCCTCTGGGAGGGGAAGACTCTCAGGGTTTCTGGCCACAATACAAACAGCTGCTGTCTACATTCACTATGAGCCAATCCGGGCCCACACAATGACTAGACAGGGCTTAGCCTGGGACCTCTCCGTGGCCAATCAATGAGAGGCAGCGTGACTTGGGTTTAAGACATGGTCCTTACAAAAGAAATCCCTGTAAACCGCCAGATATCTTTTGAGGTTTCCGTGATCAAAAGAGAGAAACAGTGCCTGCCCTCAGGAAGTTTACGTCTAAGGGAGAGAGCTGCAACACAGACCTAGAGAAGTCAATCAAAGCCAGGTACCTAAGTGTTAATGAACGGGGGAGGGGGGGCGGTGCCACCGCAAGGCACGCCGGGACTTTTGGTCTTTCCCCGCCCCTCAGAGCATTTGGCTGCCGCCCCTCCCCTCAGGGGTGTCTCTAGGTCCAAAAGCGGAAGCAAAGGCGTTGACATCGCCTCGGATCGGCGTTGATTGTCACCCAGGAGAGCCAATAGGAGGCCCGGTCTGCCTTTCCCGCTATCGGCCACGCCTTCTGCTTTGAAAATCCTTGCTTCGTGCCTCAGGCCCCGTCTACTGAGGCGGCGGCGTGGTCTTCAACAGAGTCGAGGGCCTCGCTACACGGGGCGAGGCGGGCCGGGCCAAGTGGAGCAGGCTAGGTGAGGCCGCCTCCTCCTCCTCTCTGGGGGCGGCTCCCCGTCTCCCCGCAGGGGGGCCGGCCTCGCGGAAGCGCGTCTACCCCGGCGGCCCTCGGCCTCACCCGATGACCGCGTGAGGGCCGTAAGAGACTATTTGCAGACCGGGACACTGAGGCAGGCCTTTGCGCCCTCTGTTTCCTCACCTGTAAAACAAGGGGGTCGGATTGGTTGCCCAGTGTAGGATCGAGGCCCGACTCTTCCCTCAGCCCACGCTGGGAGCGAGGGAGCGAGCCAGGCTGCTCCCGTTTTATGGATGGGGGAGCAGAGGGGGTGGTGTTGGGGCCGCAGGCTCTGGCTCGCCGTTTCTGGTCACGAGCCCCAAGAAGGAGCCCCTTTCTTCAGCTGCGTGGCAGCTTTCTAGCTCCTTAGGCAATGCGTGTCGGTTGAAAGACTTGAACTCTTCCTCTCAGTCTTCCCTTCCTGCCTGAGACAAGCCTTGATCGCTGGGCAAGTCACTAGTGACAGGCAGGCTTGAGTGGAGCAGGGGCCGGGTGCCCACAGGGCTGCTGGGATACCTTCCCAGCCCCGGGTCTCAGGAGCAGGGCCTCTCATCCGTTTCCATGTGCACTGATCTCTCGGGCAGTCTGGGGAAGCCTGCGAACCTCTTTTCTCAGCGTGGTGATTGACACGCAGAAAGCCAACTGCACAGGCATAGGAGAGGACCGATTCCATAGACATGTAAAAATCAAAGAGTAGAAAATCACAAAGTCACAGACCTCCCAGAAATCTGGCCCTGCAAGAATCCCTTTCCTGCACAAAATGTTACGTATTGTTGTTATTACTGCCACTTTAGGCTGTAGGACGTGTGCTTGCATTGACTTAGAACTGCGTAGTAGTCCTGGTTTCACAGATTTAAGACTGGAAGGGACCCCAAAGGCCAAGTTCAGTGCCCTTCTTTTGCCCATGAGGACACCTGAGGCACGGAGAAGTTGGCCCAGGGTCGCACAGCTAGTGAGGGAGGTGACATTTGAATCCAGGGCTTCCTGACCCCGAGTCCAAAGACCCCCTCCTCCCACCGTGCCACACAGGATGGACGGAAAGCACGAGTTCCAAACAAGGACATCACCTACCTGTCTCCTGGAAATTGCTCTCTATTTCTTTGTTCACTCTGTATTTGCTTCTAAACAGAGACACCCTGGGTTAAGCACTTTCAAGGACCTCAAAGGTTTTCTAGACCAACCTGCCCTTCCTCTAATCTCAGGTTCAGTGATTGGCCCATGTTCACACAGCATGTGTTGGAGCTGGAATTCTAACCCAGATCCTTTGATTCTCTGTGCCACATCTGCAAAGCAGTGCTCATCTGCAGCCACCTTACTCTAGATGAGTTCAGATGCTTCTTGTTTCTTGTTAAGGGTCTGCTTGATTGCTGCTTCCTCCCTCTCCTTTACTTAACCCTGCTGGCAAGGCTTGGTCGTAACCCTCAGTCTGTCTTTGAGTGCCATCAGACGCCTGGTTAGTGGGTGACGTTATTTGGGGGGCAAGGAGCTCATAACTGTTAGGGGTTTTGGCCTGAGGCCAAATGTGTTACAGAATATACTGTGTGGAGGAGAGGGGCGTTGGAGTGGTGGGGAACCTTGACTGAACGGAGAAAACCACTGTGGCCTCAATTCCTGCATCCCATCTCTTCCAGTTAGGGGGGCTCTGCATGGGAAGGTGGCAAGTTTAGGGTCAGAGAGAGAGTTTTAGAATATTTGCCAGCTGCTGTTGTACCTGGGTAAAGTGTTCCAAACCCATCCCTCATCAGGCTCTGTACTGGGAGGGAGAGCAGTGGTTGGGGACCTGGCATCACCTCTGCCCCTGAGGGGAGTGCAAGCTGGCTGACAGTGGTTCAGAAGCAAGACCACAACTTATTTTATGATCTTAAGCCAAGGTTTCCTTAGCATGGGGTCATTTTGATTGGGGCGGGGCAGGGGTGTAGGGAGTGGGAGAGAAGCCTCAGAAAGTGGATGAAACTTCTTAGATAAGCAAAGTCTTTCCTTGTGGAGGGAGGGTGTTCTTGTAACCGCTAATTTTTTTTCTAACCACTAATTAAAGAGGAAATCTTTGTTTTATTTTTTTTTTGCACCAGTCACACAACACCACCCCACATATCCCAAACCCCCAACTGTGAGCTGTATTATGCAAAAAAAAAAAAAAAAGAAGAAGAAGAAGAAGAAGAAGAAGAAGCAAACCAAACTGACACATTCCCCACTTGATGGGCATCCCCTCAACTTCTAATTCTTTACCCCCAGAAAAGAGCTGTTATAAATGTTTTTGTACTTATAGGTGCTTTTCTTTTTTGTTTTTTCTCTCTCTTAGGATACAGACCTAGTGGTTATATTGCTAGGTCAAAGGGTACACATGACTTTATAGCCCTTTGGGCATAGTTCCAAATTGCTCTACAGAAGGGTTAAATCAGTTCACAACTCTACCAACAGTACATTAATGTCTCATTTTTCCCACATCCCCTCCAAATCTGTCATTTACCTTACCTGTCCTTTTAGCCAATCTAATAAGTATGAGGTAGTACCTCAGAATTGTGTTCATTTGCATTTCTCCAATCAGTAGTGAGTTAGAGTATTTTTTCATATGGCTATAGATAGCTTTAATTGCTTCATCTGAAAACTGATCATATCTTTTGATCATTTATCAGTTGGAGAATGGCTCTTATTTTTATAAATTTGACTCAGTTCTCCATATGCTTGAGAAATGAGGCCTTTATCAGAGAAACTTCAAATTTTCTTTTCATAGTTACTGTTGCTAACTGTATTTCCTTCCCTCCATTTATTCTATTCTCTCTCTCCCTTCACCCTGTCCCTCTTCAAAAGTATTTCGCTTCTGAGCAACCTCTCCCCCAATCTACCCTCCCTTCTACCACCACCCCTTTCTCTTATTCCCTTCCTCTGCTTTCTTGTAGGGTAAGATAGATTTCTGTGCCCAATGTGTATGTTATTCCCTCTTTGAGCCAATTCCGATGAGAGTAAAGTTCACTCACTCCCCTTCCCTTCCTCTCCACTGTATTTTTACGTTATTTTTAGTTTATTTTTTAGGCAGTTGGGGTTAAGTGACTTGCCCAGGGTCACACAACTAGTAAGTTTTGGTCTAAGGCTGAATTTGAACTGAGGTCCTCCTGACTTCAGGGCCGGTACTCTATCTACTGTGCCACCTAGCTGCCTTCCCTCTCCACTGTAAAAGCTTTTTCTTGCCTCTTTTCTGTGAGATAATTTCCCCCCATTTTCTCTCTCCCTTTCTCTTTCTCTCAGTACATTCCTCTCGCCCCTTTATTTTTTTAGATATCCCTTCATTTTCTACTCACACCTGTTCCCTCTCTCTATATGTACTCCTTCTAACTACCCTAATATGAGAAAGATTTTATGAGTTAAAAATATCATCTTCCCATGTAGGAATAGAAACAATTTAACCTTATTAAGTCCCTTATGATTTCCCTTTCCTGTTTACCTTTTTATGCTTCTCTTGAGTCTTATATTCAAAAGTCAAATTTTCTATTCAGCTTTGGTCTTTTCATCAAGAATGTTTGAAATTTCTCTATCATATTGAATGTCCATTTTTTAACTTGAAGGTTTATACTCAGTTTTTCTGGGTAGATGATTCTTGGTTTTAATCCCAGCTTCTTTGACCTCCAGTATATCATATTCCAAGCCCTGCAGTCCCTTAATGTAGAAGCTGCTAAATGTTGTGTTATCCTGATTGTGTTTCCACAGTGCTTGAATTGTTTCTTTCTGGCTGCTTGTAATATTTTCTCCTTCACCTGGGAACTCTGGAATTTGGCTCCAATATTCTTAGGAGTTTTCCTTTGTGGATCTCTTTCAGGAGGAGTTTGGTGGCTTCTTTCCATTTCTAAGGAGGAGGCCCTAAAGGTGTTGTCCAGGTAAATCCAGGGCTGAAGGGCCCATGTGGGTGCAGCAGGAAGGGGCTATTAGCCCAGGGCACAGGACACCAGGCAAACCCTGACTTTGAACTAAAGGGTCATTGGCAGAAATACACATTTAAAAAGGGGAGAGCCTTATGGGAAACCTTACTCCTGTAGCAAGGCAGAGCCAGAGGAACTGAGAAAGAGGAACATGTTTGTCTGTGGCCCATTCCACACCTGCCAATGTTCTGCCAGTTTGGGGGTGTTTTCCTTCCTTTCTCCTCCTCTCTTCTTTTCTTCCCTTCCTTCCCTCCTTCCTTCCCCGCTCTCTCCCTCCCTCTGTGCCAGGCACTGTACAAAGCCCAGAGAACAAGACATTCTCTTCTCTGTGAAGTGGATCTTGTTTCTAAAGGGATCTGACCAGGCCTGAGCACCTCCCTCCCCTCATTCTGGACATGCCCTTCATGTACTCCATCAGTGTCAGAAACTGGCTTCCCCAGGGCATTCCTCCTCCATTTCCCCTCCATGTGCCCTGGTGATCTTTTAATGCTTCTCCTGACACTCAGATTCCATAATTCCTTGCTGCCCTCCCTCTCTCCAAGCCCCCATTCCCTTTCCTCTTCTCATTCTCTAGCTTCTCCCTACCTCCCATCCTTGGGTTCTGCCCTCTTTGTCCTTGAGTGCCAGGTGAGGAGGAGTGATCTCTAGAGCTGTAAGGATGGAAGCTGAGCAGGGCCCCTCTAGTCTAATCCCCTCGTTGTGCAGTTGGGAATCCTGAGGTCCAAAGACTTGCCCAAGGTCACTCAAGTCATAAACATCAGAGGTGAAATTTGAACCCAGGGCCTCTGTCTTCCCTAGACCATGCAGCCTCCCTCAATGTAGGCCGTGGGGATCCCTGACCTACTGCCAAGGCTGGCATGGAAGGGGAGGAGGCTGCCAGATTGGGGCCTTGCTCTCCCACGGGGATGAGGGTTCTACCAGATATGGCATCTTATATGAGGCATCTTAGGGTGAACTAAGTACCGTTCAGGTTAAAGGGACCTTTGTGGCCTGGTCTGGGCACAGCATGGAACCAGCTGTGTCCAAAGCTCAATTATCTGGAGCTTCGAGGTTAGCAGAATGCTTTACAAACGTTAGCTCCTTTGATCCTTAGAACAGCCCTGGGAGTAGGAGCTGTTATCATCCCCATTTTACAGGGTCACACAGCTGCTAAGTGGCCAAGGTGAGATTCTAACTCAGGGCTTCTTGACTCCGAGTCCAGCACCCTGTGCCACTTAGTTGTCCTCTGTGTGACTGCATCTGTGAGGAAATGTGTCCCAAGTCCCAGACAGACTTTGAGGCTCCAACCTGTTGGGGGCCTGAATAGAGCCCTGGGCTCCCAGACAAAAGAGCTTGAGCAAATCAAATGGCCTCCCTGGACCTCACTTTCTTATCTTTAAGGTGAAGGATTTGGCCTAGACGGATCCCCTGGATTGGGTCCAGGTCTAACCTTCTCAAATGCTGTAAAGACAAGGTTAGCCTTTTCAGAACCCCTGGTGAGTAGGTGAGGCTGGCCCATAGGGATAGCACAGGAGGAGAAGGAGATTTGTCCTCCTTTCTGACGAGCAGGAAGGCCCAGGGGCTCTTCCAGGCCAAAGGGGCCATTGATGGGGAGGTGAGCAGTTTAGATGTTCTGTGACTCTTCTTTTCTCCTCTTTGCCCCTCAGTGACTTCAGTGTGGAGCCTGAGCTGATGCCCAAAACGCCATCTCAGAGGGACCGCCGGAGAAAGAAATAGTTTTCCTCCATGCAGGATAAGAACAAGCCCCCAACCAGGAAAAGGTAGGTGGCTGCTGGGCCCCAGGGCCAAGCGGGCAGGGCAGGACAGCAGAGACAGGCCTGGGTTTGGTGTCACTATCTGCCTGTGCCCCTCCTCAACTGTGACATCTACATAGGCCTTTGTAAATAGAAGGCCTCCAAGGTCTTGTCCATTAAAATGGTGGTCCTGTGACAAGGGTAGAGCGCTTACCACGGTGCTCAGTGCTTTGGGAAATATGGAATGAAGTACAAGACGTCGAGGGGAGAGGAGACCCAGAGAAGAAGCAAGGGCAGGGCAGGGGATGATCTTGGTGCTGGTGTGTGGTCCCTCAAGAGGGCCTAGGACCATGGATTTGGAGCTGAAATGGACCTTGGGGGTCCTTGAGTCCAAGATCTTCATTTTTATAGATGAGGAAACTGAATTAAATAGGTAACGTGACTTGCCTAGGGTCACCCAGCTGGGAAGTGTCTGTGGCTGGATTTGAACTCAGGCCCTCCTGACTCCAGGCTCAGTGCTCTGTCCACTGTAAGTTCCTTGAGGGCAGGCATTGTGTTTTTGCCTTTCTTTGTATCCGTAGCACCTTAGCACAGTGCATGGCACATGATAGGGACTTCCCAAATGGTGTTAGATTGGCGGTGCCTAGGGCCCTGCTTTCCGTCTCATGCAGGTTGTCCCACTGTGAGAGACTAAGGAGTCGTTGACACAACCACCAGCTACTTCAGAGCAAAGATAAGCCAGAGAAGCTGGTTCTGGTGGCAGCTGACAATAGCTCCGTCCCTCGTCGGACTCTAACCCAAGCAGCAGCAGCCTCCTCGCCCCCTGAATCGCCCATGGTGCTCCCCAAAAGCCTATGAACCTGGCAGCAGTGAATGGGTTTGTGCCTGTTATAGAGATCAGCGTCAGCGAGCAGCAGAGTGCTGAGAATTACCTGGTGACAAATAAGACCAAGACAGCTGTCGTCAGCTTGGGCTGCAAAGATGAATTGATGTCCAAACAGCAGGCAGAAAGCCTCCCTGAGCCAGCGCCTGGGACCTTCTTGGTGGTGCCCACTGAGGTGCCTGAGGTGCAAGCTGCGGGGTCTGTGGCCAAACTCCAAATAGCCCAGCCAGTGGCTGTGATGACCAAGCCGGGCAGGGCACCCTCCTCACCAGGAACACAGACCCAGCCAGAGATTGAGCTCCTCTTGGACTTGCTGGAAAGCCCTCAGACCGTGATAGGCCCCTGCTGTGACTGGTGCTCGGTGCGTAGGAGCCTGGTGCGCAAATTCTCACAAGCCCACAGGGCCTTCTTGATTCGTAAGGACTCCGTGGTCCCGAAGAAGATCAGCTCTGCTCGACGGTCCTCCAGGAAGCTGGCCCTGGAACCAGCAGTCACAGGCTACATCACCTGTAAGTTGTTTGGCATTTCCTGGGCACTGAAGCTCAAGCCCTTGTCCCTCGCAGTCTGTCTGCCTTCTGCCTCGTTTTAGCAGAGATGAGGGTGCCCCAAGCACTCAGGTTCCTAGAATGTCTGCACGGGAAGGGGATTCCAGGATTGAAGAAGAGTTCCTAGAAGAGGAAAGTGGGAAGGAAGGGAGCCCCTCACCCATCCCTAGACTTGGAGGAGTGTCTGAGCCCCCTCCGTACTGTGACAGATGATAGAAGTCACTCTGGGAGGGCCAGAGCAGGGATTGGAGCCTCCTCTGGCTCCTGGTCTCTGTCCTCCATGTGGCCTGGGAAGGCTGGCCTAGCAGAGGATGGGGTTGGTACAGTCTCCCAAGGTGGAAAGGCTGTGGATGATTCCTTGTGCCCAAGAATCTGCCTGATTAAATAACAAGGGATTTGTCATTGGCCCTGCAGGGTCCTGGATGGAGCCCTAAACTGGGAGGCCTTAGCACCTGGGTCATCTCTGGGCAGAGTCACCTTTCTTGACTCAGTTTGCCCATCTGTGAAATGAGAATAATAGCAGTGCCTGCCTGATAGAGTTGTGAGGATCAGGGCATTGACAGGCTTCTTAGCTCCCCTGGTAGTGAAAGGGAGGGCTGAGAGCAGAGGACTTGTGGATCCTCCATAGAGCACCCTCCCCGCCTGCTGGAGAGTGTCCTCTCCACTCCCTTCAGCATCCTCTGAGAACCTATTGTGCTCAGGCTGCCTGCCTAGGGGGTCCCTCTCCTTGATTTCGGAGAGAACGAGTAGATAACCCTATGGGGTGGGAGGCAGTTTAGGTGACACAGATTGGGGCTGAGGCCTGCAAGGCATGTCAGATAGCTAGCAGACATCTCCTGACTCCTTCCAGCTCGTAGCCTTTCACTGAACTACCCTGCCTGCTGTTAGACATTGGATACTAATGACCTGCCTGAGATAGTTGGGTTATCATTTCAGTAAAGAGATTTTGAGGTCCTGTGTTAAGAACCAAGTTGATTTAGAAAGGCCCACAGAGGAGTAACTTTGACGTAGTTCTGAGGCCTTAGTGACATAGAGGGTCTGTGTTGGTCAATCTGACTGTTACCTAAGGGCCTTTTTATCCCAGACTACAGTGCAAGGCAGCCATGAGGCCCATGTTTTGGGACCCCTGGAAATCTCTTGGAGATAGGGGACGGGCCCCTCTAGGTAGATAAGCACTCCCTATTTGAGCAGTTGTGGCATTGGCGCTAGCAGGAGAAAAGAGGGAAGGGGAGTGTATCAGACAGAGATTGGTGCCGTTATTGAGTCGATTCAGTTGTGTCCCACTCTCCCTGACCCCATTTGGGGTCTTCTTGGCAGAGTTTCTGGAGTGGTTTGCCATTGCCTTTTCCAGCTTATTTTACAAATGAGGAAAGTGAGGGAAATGGTGTTAAGTGACTTGCCCAGGGTCACACAGCTAGTAAGTTTCTGAGCCCAGATTTGAACTCAGGAAGAGGAGTCTTCCTGCCTCCAAGCCTAGCATTTTATGTGACACCTAGCTACCCTGATTAGTACTAGGGAGACGGGTGTTCTAGGACCCTGATCCAGAGTGACGAGTGGGGAGAAGTGAGGGAAATGTGGCCAAAGAGCCAAAGCTCCCTGGGGTGATAAAAGCAGTCTGACTGAAGCTCAAGCCAATCCTTTGCATGTGCAGGCTTTGGAACGGATGGCAAGTGCTCAGTGTCCCAGGAACAGCATCTTTCTGCACAAGGAGCTCTCTCTGCAGGGCTTGGGGATGAGGCGGGGAGTGTCAAGTTTGTCCCCACCAGTTAAGGGCCCTTTGGGATTCTGGAAGTCAGGAGCTTAGCTAATAGGTCAGTGATCTGGGAAAAGCAGCAAGCTAAAATAGAAGAAGGCCTGGGCTGGCAAATCCCTACCTGTGTGTCCTTGGCCATGTCACTTTTCCATTGTGGGCCTTTAGTTTTCCCATCTCTAAAATGAGAAGGCAAGACTAGATACCTTGGAGGCCCCAGCTGTGTCCAGACCCAGTGATCCCAAGGGGAGGCAGGGAGAGTAGTTTGGGGCAGCTCCAAATCTGGGATTGCCTCTTGGCTTGCATTTTTTACTTTTTGGCTTTCAAGGTGTCTTCCTTCTCGTTGCCAAGGCTGCAGGGGGAGCTTGGTCAGATACTACAACAATTCAGGAAAAGCCAGGCTTGAAAAGTTCCCTGCATCCTCCTCTCTGACTCTCTGGCTCTTCCTTCCCAAAGGCTGGTAGGAGGCTCTGGGCCCACTTGTTCATGTTGAGATCAGGTCGACTACTCCTCCCATTTGGACAGGGAGCTGTGCCTGGGGCCTTTTGGCCTCTGTGACGTGATGGTTGCAGAGGCCCAGAATGAACCGTTAGCCTCATCTTGGTCGGCGGCTCTCTTCCTTTTCTTGGCTCATAGAGTTGAGGAGTTGCCACGACCTGACTGGTGAGGCTGGCAGGTCTATGAGAGTAGGCCCCATCTAGTTTGTGACCCCCACAATGAGGACTTGAGCCAGTGACTTAGGCCAGCACCTTCATTTTGCAGGCGGGGTTGCTGAGGCCTAGAGAGAGGAGGGGGCTTGACCAGATTTCCCCAGCCAGTACATAACAGTCCTGGAGCTCGACTCCCAAACCAGGACTGTCTCCACAAGACCATGTGGTCTCAAGGGGGACTTAAAAGATTAGCAGGGAGAATGGGAAGTGAAACCTGAGAAGAACAGGTCTCCTGAATCCCTGCCGTCCCAGCTGTAGAAGATGCTGGGAAAAGAATTGAGTGGTTCCCATCTGACTTGTGATTATCATTAATAAACCATTTTTGTCACACCTTTGAGATGCTTTCTATACATTATCTCATTTGACCTTCCCAGTACCACCTGTGGGTAGGTACTACAGATATTATTATCCCCATCTTACGGATAGGGAAACTGAGGTTCAGAGGGGATAGAGTGACTTGATCAGGGTCAAATGACTCTTGTCAGGTGGGGGATTTGAACCCGGGTCTTTAGTGATCCCAAGTCTAGTGCCCTTCCAGGGCATGCTGCTGTTCTCTGACTGCCTTCTTTGTCCTGGATTCTTCCTTTCAGGCCACAGCTACCTGGAGAGGCTCCTGGGTGTAGAAGTATTCAGGAAAGCCAGGTGAGACACAGATGTCTTTGTCCACAAGCCATGCTCTGAGTGCTCAGCGATCAGTGCAGACAAGGGATCACTCCTCCTCCTGTTGCCCCGGGGCTGAGGACAAACAGGTGTCATCACAAATGATTCCAGACCTTCAAGGGGAAGCCAGAGCTCAGCTGGGCCTCTTCAGGCACAGGCACATGCAGACTACACCATAACCCTGGCTTCCCACCACCAGAGGCCAAGAGCATGCACTTTGGGCCACTTAGGGGTCAGGTGGGCCTCCTGTGGTCACTCCCCCAACCTGGCCACTGTCACCCACAGCTAGGCCTCCTCTGAATCATGCCCCTTCCATGGTCCTGACCACTTTATGGGTGCTTAATTGGCAATCCCAGAATTCCACGTTGAGGAGAGGAGAGCAAGGGGATGGTGACATGGAAGGCCCAATGAAGACCTGTCCCCTGGAGCCAGGGGAAGGAAGGTGGGCGGCTTTTCTGTGACAGTCTGATGCTTATTGCCCCTTGGCCTCAGAGGCCTCTGAAGCCACCCGGAGGGGACGGCTTCCCTCCATCACTGAAATGCACCCCCACTCGCCTGCGGTGGGCAAGACAACTATTGCTGGGAGCTTGGCTTGAGCATTGCCAAGAGCAACCTGGCCCCTGTCACTGTGTCCTTCAGGGGTGGAGGAGGTGGCCCAGAGACACCTGTGGTAGCAAAGCCTTCCTCGAGCCCCAGGTCTCTAATCATAGATTTGTAGGAGGTTGGAGTGGGGAAGAATCTGACTGGTTCAGTGGAAGGGGCCCGGGCTCTGGGGTCAGAGCTGGCCTTGGGGGTGGCATTGGTAGCTCTGCTTCTGACCTCACCTGAGTCACATGGCTTCTCTAGACCTCAATTTCCTCATCTCTAAAAGGCGAGGGTTGGACTCATGGCCTTGGCTCAAAGGCTGTGATCCTCCGAACCCCTTCATTTTAGAAAAAGGAAACTGAGGCTCAAAGAGAGAAAGGCATGTGGCCAGTTTGTGGCAGTGCTCAGCATGAAAGGCCAAGAGCCTGCCCTGGGAGGGTGGTGACTGTCAGAAGGCTGCCCCCCCACCGCCCCTGTGTGCTGGTGGTCAGATCTGCCCTCCCAGGGAGGCTGGTGGTGCCACCCTCCATGCGCAGCCTCCTCCCCTTGCCGTTACAGTGGCCTCCTCCTTGATCTCTCTGCCTTTTTAGAACCACCAGATCTGACCATCGGCCCTCTGTTTCCAAGGTTCCCTGCCTCCAGGATCAGATACGAACTCCAATTTGTCCTTTAAAGCCCAGTACCGTCTTGCTTTGTGCCCTCTTGCCAGGCTTTCTACACCTTCCTCCCTGGTTTAGGCCAGCTAGCCACTTTGCCGCTCCCTTCCCCATGCCTTTGTGTATGAACCCCATGCCTTTGTGTATGAATCCTCCCCTGCCCCTTGCATCTGCTGGTTTTTCCTGAACCCAGGTTATTGGTGATGGGGTGGGTTGCTCTGCCTGGGTCGAGAGAATGGAGCTTCCTGGTGATGAGGAGATGTGGCCCCCCAGAGTCCACTCCTCTTGGTGTTTAGGAACTGGACTGTTCTTCAAGCTTTCTCTGTTTCCTTTCAGCTCTGAAGAGGAGGTGAAGTGTGCAAGAGAAACTGAGCAGGAGGTAGGCAGGGCTCTGGGGAGAGGGGCCTAGGCCCCAGTTGGGAGAGCAGGCGACAGAAGGGCCTCTGGCCACGTGCGTGCTCTTGGACTCTGTCGTAGCCACTAGAGGCGGCCTCTACCTCCAAAGTCATTCCTTGAAATGAACCAATCTTTTCCTACCTTGCAGTGTCCTGGATCAGGGCCTCTGTTCATCAAAGCCATAGGTTCCCAAAGTGGGCAATACCACCCCCGGGAAGGTGCTGGGATGATCCAGGGGAATGGTAGTAGTTTGAAATGATGCAAATTTAAAAAAAAACGTCAAAGAGTTAAAGAAGTTAGATTTCCAGGGGAGTACTGCAAAGGGGGCAGTAGGCAAAATAAGGTGGGAACCATGCTGTCTCATGGGCAAGGGAGCTCCACACCCAGGAGGTAGGAGGATCAGGGCCTGGGCCAGAATGAACCCCAATGCTCTGCCTTTGCCTGCAGGCACCTGAGGGCACCAGGAGAAGGCTGCACTCTCAGAACACAAACAAGATTTCCATCAGCAGCCCAAGGGCCCAGCCAGGGTCTGGAAGCCAAGCAGATGATGACAGTGGTGAGGCCTTCTCTGGGTGTTGGGCCATAAGAAGGAAGCAGGAACTCTGGGAGTTGGTAACTGTCCATGCTGGTGAATTCCAGACTTGAGACAGCTCCCTACTAGAACTCGCTCCCACTTTTTGTTGGCTGGAAGGGAGTTAAGATGTAGCAGAAGAAGCATTTGCCTCTGGTCCTCAGTTTCCTCACTTCTAAAGCCTTGTTAAAAGGAATGCTGTCCTGAAGGCTGTCCTGAATTCTGTGACCCTGGTCTGTCCCTGTAGGGGCTAGCCCAGGCAGGCTTGGCCATGTGGAATTAATTGCTCCAGGGAGCAGGCCAGGGGGTAGCTGACCTATTACATCAGCAGAGAATCACTAGTAGTGTCTCAGGGAAAGCTTGGGGTTTTTTTCTCTAATTAAGACTATTGTGATGTTAGGAGGGTGAGGAATTGAACCTCAGGGAGGAAGTTGTAGAGGAGAAGGAAGGAAGAAGAGGAGGATGGTGATGCCAGCCTGAAGCCAAGCAGGACAGTCACCCTACACAGGGGCCATTGTAGAAAGGGGCAGGCAGGCTGGTCCGGACTGGCTGCCAGACTCTGGGGATCGTGGGGGCAGCCAGCTCTGGCATGACCTGCAAAATGTTGGCTACAGGTTCTAGCTGTAGTATTGGAGGGCAGATAAGGAAAAGGTTCCTGGGCCAAGGAAGGAGTGGGGTGGGACTGAGGAGGAGGAGGCCACTTGGGGGGCTGCTGCTGTGGGCAGGGGAATGGGGACAGGGTGGTGCTGTTTCAGGGAGTTCGGTTTGGGAGGAAATGGGGAATGGCCCCTGTGGACCCTACAGGCACAGGCAGAGCGGCCCAATGGTTAGCCCAGGTTGCAATTTCATTGAATGTGAGGTTTGGCTCTAACCTTGGCTCCAGATGGTGACTTGTGGGGCCAAGGCTGAGCTCCCCACTCCTGCTCACCTACCAGCTGGGCAACAGGTCAGAGGCGGGGGCAGAGGAAGAGTGTCACTTGGCAGCTTGGTGCCCTGGGAGTCAGTGTGATCTTAGGCAGGTCATCTCTTTGGGCCAATTCTACTACTCCGAGTTCGCTCCCTTTGTGCCCTAAATCTGTGGGAGCATCTGACAAGATGGCAGATGTAAAAGGCTTTGTATAAGGGAGGCTTCCCTTGTTTTGTTCCCTCCACAGAGAGCGAGATGGACCAAAGTGAGGAGCCCAGGGTGCTGCCTGAGAATGTCGGGTAGGAGGATCTGTGGGGGCCCATGAGCACAAGCTGGAGAGGAGTGGGAAGGATACTGGGGCAGGAACTGGGGAGAGGCCAGCAAGCTGGGCAGCCAGTTAGCCAAGGGACCCAAGAGCACGATGAATCCCTGAGCACCGCTGGGCGCTTCAGTCAATCAGCAGGTGTTGCCTCGGTGCCTCCTCTGTGCCAGGCACTAGACTGGGGGCCTGCCCTTGGGGCACTTCGACTCAGGCACCTCTTAAATCACCCAGACTACGTACACGAAGATGAGCTAGGCCCTGCTGGGAAAGGCGACCTTAGAGCTTGGGGGCCACAAGGCATTCCAGAAAGCCGTGATCTTTCGGCCTCGCCCGACCCATCCTGACATACATAGGTTTCTCTTGCCATATGGCAAGAGTGTCCTTTAGTGTCCAAAACAACTTCATTCTCAGAATCTCCGCTTAAGAGTCTGTTTAGTGGGACAGGTGAAAGGACAGGAGGCAGCAGTCCCCTAAGATCTCTGGATAAGATCATAAACCTACCAGTGTGACTTTGGGCAAATTACTTCTCTGGGCCTCAGTTTCTTCATCTGTAAAATGGTTGGATTGGATGGCCTCTCAGGACCACTGTGGCTCTACCTTCATGATGCTCAGCTGGTGATGGCATGATGAGAGACATGGAATAAGCCCACACTTGAGGCCTTGACAGGCATGGTCTCCAGCAGAGAGGGAGGTATCCTCCTTCCCTCCTCAGATGAGTTTGTATTTACTGACCTACATACATGTTCTATTCCCCAATAGAATATGAGCCTCTTGAGGGCAGGGCCTGTTTTGCCTCTGGAGCCTCAGAACCTAGTGCAAGGCTTTTTTATAGAGGAGGTGCTTCTAAAAATTACATTCAATTTAATTGAACATTTATGGTTATGTAGTAGTGGGTGTGTTATTTATTGTCTTCTCTGTTGGCATCTTTTCTCCCTAGTAGATTGTAAGCTACGTGAGGGCATGCAGAGACTGTTTGACTTTGTCCCTCCCCCAGACCTAGCACAGAGCCCTCTAGGAGTGACTGAAGAGGTGTCCCAAGCCTAGAAAGCAGTGGGAGGGGAACATCTGAGACCCCACCTGGCTGGGCCTTCCTGTTTGGGCCCCAGTCTGAGCTGAGGAGGAGAGCAATGGGAGGGGACCATTTTTGTCCCTACCCAGGCCCCTGTAGGCATTGCTTCTTCTGCCCCTCACAGGGGAAAGAGGATCTACAAGCAAGCTGTCAGTGAGCTGGATGAGAACGGGGACCACATAGATGATGAGGCACTCACTCCTCCTAGAACCAAGGCTCCCTCCCCTGTCTGCCCTCCCAGCAAGGTAAGACAGATGAGGCACGCACACACTGGGGCGCACCCTTTGCACTGTCAGCAGCCATGACACGCTCCCTGACCTTCCTTGATCTCGAGGCCTCAATCCTTGGGCTCAGGCCAAGAAAGAAACAAATTGACTCCCTTGCCTGCCCTGCCCCCAATTTTCCTCTGGACCCTGGTTCAATGGTAGCTGACCATGCTCCCCATTTTAGAATGGTAGAATTGACCTTGTCAGCTAATGTTGATGGGGAAGACTGTTTTCAAAGTCATGTTCCTAATTCCCAAAGTCTCTGAGATCCTTGTTAAGGAGGTTAGATCTTCATTTTCAATTCAGTCTAACAAGCAAGCCCACTGTGAGGTCTGGTCCTTAGCTCAAGGAGCTGGCATTCATTCCATGGCACCTTCTGGGCAGTTGATTTTAAAGTTATGGAGTTGACTTGCCTTTTGGAAATGACGTGAGGGTAGAGCCATGAGATGACCTGGGGGTGATGAAGGCAAAGGGAAGCTGGTGTTAAAAATCGAACTGGACATGGTATCTTGGGCAGAGTTTGTTTTTTTTTTTTTAATTCAATTTGATAAGAAGTGTCTGCACCTGAATATTTTTTTAAAAAAAGAAAACCCAGCTTTGTCAGTCACCCCTGAAATGCTGTTCTCCCATTATCATCTCCAGTAAAACACTTCCCATTGTCTAACTCCATGCTCTCCCACTTCTCACTTCTCGACGTCCCACTTCTCAGTGCAAGGTGAGTGAGCTGTCTGAATTGGGAGATTTGGGGTCAGGTAGATGGTGGGGAGAGCAGTGTGAGCAGGGAGCTGGGCCTTGGGGGGCTTGGGGGCCCTGGAGCCTGAGGGTACATGTGCCTTAAAGCATTCAGACCCTCCCAGCTTTCCTCAGCTCTGCCATGGAGCTCAGCCTGGACGAGGCAAGCCATCTTTCCTCCATCGTACCTCAAATACATCAAGTTAACATGGCTTTTCTCCCTTGAGCTCAGGCAGTTCTGATGTTCTGGGAGCAGAGCCAGGCTGGCTGCCATCTTGAGAACTCTCATGGGCCCCACTGGGAGGGAAGGGGGATGGGAGCCGAACTTCCCAGAGCACGTCACTTCTAGAGAGGGCTCTCTCACTGGAGAAATGGGGAGGGAAATGCCCCCTGGCAGCAGTAGCCCACTTGTAGGCTCTTTCCTTGCCCCATTCTTGGAACCCTGGGGAATTTGGGGAGTTGGCAACAATGTCCTTGTGGAAAACCTTGGATTCTCCCATGCCATTGTAGAGGGAGTGATCCCTTGGCTGGAGTCTATGTGGGAGAATCCTCAGAAGTAGAGATGTTATCTAGCCCTAAGCTCTGTCAGAGGTAGGCATTCCCTCCACAGCATCCAGACAGGTGGCAATCTGTCTGGCCTTTGCTTGAACGCCTTAGAGCAGCGGGGAGCTCACTACTACACAAGGCAGCTCATTACATTTTTGAATAGCTTTAACTGTTTGTAAAAGGGATGATGTCTCTGATTGACAGTATGATGCTGGCCCACAGTAGACACCAAGGAAATGTGCAGTGAGTTAAATTAGAAAGCTCTGTTTTGTGTTCCTGTTGGGCTTCTCCTAATTTCAACCCCTTCTGGTCCTGCCGTCTGAGGCCAAGCAGAGCAGAACTATTCCCTTTTTCACATGACACCCCCTCTTCTCCCTTCTCCTCTTTCTTTAGCTGCATACACTGGCCCTCATAGGATAGATTTTTCAGACCTGGCTCTGCCAGCTTTTCTAGGCCCTTTCTCACAAGGGTGCCCAGAACTACCTGGCCAGTGTGGCCCCAACTTACCGAGGCTCTTGGGGGCTCTCCCAGCATACTGGGCCAATGGCTTCTTTCTGGGCATGTGGTCAAGGGGTGTGAGAGCTGCTGTCCCTCCCTTCTCCCTGTCCCTCCCAGCTACTTGCAGGGGACTGCCTCCCCCTTGGGCTGGCAGGCTCAGTTATTTTCGGGTCCCCTGGGGTTGATCATTTGGCTACACCACCAGATGAGACCCTGCCCATGGTTTTTTGGGTGTTTGAGCTTGCTGCATCCTGCATATTTGCCCTTGGCTAAGCACCTCCCCACTTTGGATCAGTGATCCCCTGATGGTGACTGGGGATGCCTCCACTGTGTCCATCAAGAGAAGCCAAGACAAGGGGCAGCTAGGCGGCGCAGTGGATAGAGCACCAGCCCTGGAGCCAGGAAGAGCTGAGTTCAAATCTAGCCTCAGACCAACCAGTTGACACTTACTAACTGTGTATCCCTGGGCAAGTCACTTAAGCCCAATTGCCTAAATAAATAAATACAATACAATACAGTAAAATGCAATAAAATAAAATGTGAGATACAGCTTTGGGGCAGCTAGGTGGCGCAGTGGATAGAGCACAGGCCGTGGATTCAGGAGGAGCCAAGTTCAATTCCGGCCTCAGACATGTAACATTACTAGCTGTGTGACCCTGGGCAAGTCACTTAATCCCATTGCCTAACCAAAAAAAATTAAAAAAAAAAAACAGAAGCCAAGGCAGACAGCAATCCTGGATGGTTTCTGTGGAGCTGCCATTGCAGGGATGTAGGTGAAAGACAATGAGCCCATTTTACAGATGACAAGTCTTGGATCTCAGAGAAGGGGAGTAGTGGGCCCAGGCCACCTGGCCAGTTGGTGGCTGAGCCAGCCCTGGAAGGCCACACTGGTGGGAGATGGGGCACCCACGGTGCCTGTACCACTGGGCCTGGGCAGTAAACTCCTCCTTTCCTTTCATATCTCATTCATGTCAATAATATGTTACAGCATTTGGCCTCAGATCTGAGTTCAAGTCCTACCTGGGACACAGCCCTTCTCATGCTCTAGGCAGTGGGGGTGGGGGGAAGGCACACCTCCCATGGGAAGGGGTAGGGGATAAGGGAGGCCAGGGACACCCAGGCTTCTACTGGTGCCTGCTTGTCCACTGCCACCTCTCAGGCAGACCTGTCCCTTCTTTCCACAGGAGAAGGAGCGACAGCAACTGGAGAACCTGAAAAAGAAGGAGGAGGCTGAGCTGATGAGGAAGCAGATGGTGGAGGAGGATAAGCGCCGGCACCTGAAGCAGGTGAAGATGTGAGTGTCTGGCTTTGCCCATACCCTGTGGAGGCCTTGGGAGGGAGGGGAAAGAGGGAGGATGGGGGGGTGTCTCCAAATCCAAAGACATATCCATTTTTCCTCGTGCCTCCAGGAAGTGGGAGGCACGCCTTCTGAAGGTCCTGTTGGGCCGTCAGCAGGCAGAACAGCTGGAGGTAGAGAAGAAGACGTGCATTGAACAGAAGCTGGCTCAGCTGGAGAAGAACAAGTAGGTCAGTGGTGGCCCTGAGTCCTAGGGGGAGGTGCAGACTGCACTGGGCTGAGCAGGGGTCTCAACCTGATGTGACCTGACCTGCTGGCTTGGTGGCTGGCAGGCAGAGGAGGAGTGACTGGCTGGGGAGGAGGCCAGGGAGAAAGCTAAGAAGCTGTAGGAGGTGGAAGGGAGGCAGAAGCAGAAGGCTGAAGCCAGGAGGCAGAAGAGAATTCAGCAGGTAAGTGGAGCAGGATGGGGGCATCCCAGGGGGGAGAGATGGAGGCCCAGGGAGGGAGGAGCAGAGCTGCCCATCATCAGTTCCTTAGGCCTCACCAGACGAGGGCTGAGACAGGCCTCTTCCTTGTGGGGCAGCTAGCTGTAGGGCCCAGTGTACTGGGCCTTCAGTCAGAAGTACCAAGATTCAGGGTAGAGAGCCAGTAAGTACCTGAAGCAGGCCCTGAGCCCAGGTTTCTCTTGCCTGACACCCTAGTTGGCTTATATGTTGACATCCAAGTTTCCTAGGCGGAAGATCGCTCAGGAAGCACTGAGAGGAAAGAGCTTCCTGCCTAAAGTGGGATTTAGGTAGGTTACCCAGAGAGTTACCAGGGTGAGCCACAGCAAATATCACCCCTTTCCTGAATGGGTTTCTTTCCTTTCTGAAATGGCAGGGGAGGGAGTGGATGATCTTCAGTGGCTTCACTCCAATACCTACTTGAATGTATTTCTGGAAGTTGGATGTGAAAGCCTAGGCAAGGTCCCTCTTTCCTGCCCTCAGAAAACACCCAGTGTAGTGTGGGGAGAGGAGTGTCTGCGATATGGTGAATTTGTTAGAGGTTGGGCAAAGGAGGAAGAGCTAGGTGACAGGGGAATCTGGAACAGCTTGCTGTACTTGGCCTTTCAAAGATGGGAAAGAGGTTGGGAGGTGATCACATAGAAAAGGTCTCAATTTCGGACTCAACAAAGGGAGCAATCTGGGTTAAATGAAGGTCTTGGAGGAGTCAGGGCGAGGACAGGAACCTGAATAACACCTTGAGCAAAGCTCATGTGCCCTTTCTTTTACCAACCTTAGCAGGTCTATGAGGTTCTTCTCAGGAAGAGGGATTCTTCCCCAGCTTGTTGAGATCATTCTCAAGGACAGCTCTAAAATCATGTCCCTGATGCCAAATGTCTGAAGGAGAAGAAGATGGGGCAAGCAACTAAATCAAATTGTATGTGGAAATGATGCCACAAATACAGGAGGTGAGGAGTCCTGGAGTGTTTTCCCAAAAGGCTCAGTGGCTGGTCCCACACCAGTGACAACTAGAGAAAAGAAAGCAGAGCTAAAATGAATGTGGCTTACAATAAATACTCCTCCAAGCTGAACTGTTCTTCTCCCTTACTCATGATTGAAAATGGGATGTGTATTGAAGAAAGGGCTAAGGATCTTTCTCCCTCTCTGTCTCTCTCTGTCTCTCTCTGTCTCTCTCTCTGTCTCTCTCTCTCTCTCTCTTCTCTCTCTCTCTCTCTCTCTCTCTCTCTCTCTCACACACACACACACACACACACACAGACTCACACGCATACACACACACAGAGACAGGGCACACTCCCCGAATGCAATCATTTTATATGAAACTTTACATGAGAGAAATAATTTGTAATTGGGAGGTGAAGAAAGGATGCTCTATAGTGTTGGGCCCAACAGTTCACTTACTTTCTAAGGAGAGAGATGGGTTAGCCATAGGCAAAACTGCTTTGGAACATAAACTCATTTGTGAAATCTTATGGAAAAAGTGGGTGACAAATAGTGACTTTTCTTATGGATGGGTATTCATATTCTCGCAATGTTGACACATATGAGTACTCACCTATTCTCTTTAGTCTTATATATTTATACTGATATTTTCTATCTAGATTCTTGTATATGAATACTCCAGTATTATCTAAGTGTCTTCATACAGCAGTACTCATAGATCCTTTCTTTAGATCCATACACACACATATGTACTCACCTGTTCTCTATTCATATATGTCCACAATTATAAATTGAGAAAATACATTCCCATTTATGTACTTCTCTATCTCTCAGTATTGTGTATGTTTATTCACACATCTTTCTTCATTTATTAACTTATAAGTGTGTGTATATTCTCTATATTCACATTAATAAGTACTCACCTATCCTTTCTCTTTACATATATATGAGTCCTCATTTTCTCACTCCATATTTATATGCTGTTGTAGGAATCATCATATTCTTTCTCAACATATAGGAGTTCACATCTTCTCCCACAGGGAAACGGTAGGATACTTGTTAGTACATAAAGAGAAAAAGTGCTCACACTTGAACGAAGAAAAAATAGAGAAGTACCATTCAGTTGTTTTTTCAGTCATTTGTGACACTGTGTGGTGCATGTTGAGGCTTTCCTGGCAGAGATTCTGGAGTCGTTTGCCATTTCCCCCTGTAGCTCATTTTACAGAAAAGAAAACTGAGGCAAACAGGGTGAAGTTCTTGGCCAGGGTCACATAGCCCAGGGTGACATCTGAAACTGCATTTTAATTCAGATCTTGCTGATCCCACACCACACAGTATGCACTGAACCACCTAGACAATATATGTGTAGCCATGTCAGAGGCTCTACTAGAAGTCCTTTATATGAATATAGAGAGAATACCTAAGTATTTCTCAGTATGAATATAGAAAGAAAACATGGGAGTTCTTCAATATTATGAACATAATGAAAACTTATAGAAAGACTTAGGGGTAAGCAGATACAAACAAATAGGTTTTTGGTAGTGGTACAAGGCATGGACAAAGAGATGGATAGACTGTTCCTTGGACACTTGTCCAGTTCCGCTTGTTGCTCTATGCCTGTTTGGGACCTACAACGGTTTCAGTCAGATAAGCCACCCGGAGCCCAAGAGAATAGTCAGGTCCTCTTGGCTGGGATTCTGCTGGGGTGTGGGGCAGGTAAAAGGAACCCAGTAGGGGCCTTGGCGGCGGAGGGGGGAGGAGGGGTGTTAGCCGAACCAACGGATGGGCAGACCTTGAGGGCGGCTCCTGGAGTCTCAGCGGGGGGCCTGTGTGGAGGGGGTTGGGGCCTCCACGGCCAGGCGGCCAGGTGGGCTCAGACCTCACAAAGGCCATCGCTGACGTCACCGACCATCAACTCTGCTCCGCCCATGGTTGCCTGAGTATATCTGGTGGCCCAGAGTTCCAATGTGGTGGGGTGTGAGATTGCAGGAGAGCAGATGAATGACCACGCAAGGATCGGGGGACGTTTGGGGACACACTGTACCTGCCTGAAGACCTCTCAGTTATTTCTGATGTAGTTTAATGGTCCCCAAGTGGTATTTATCTGACCATGGTTTTCACCCCTTTAGGTTGTTAAGGGCAGTGGGTCGTCTGGAGGGGGGAACACCTCTGATCGGGAAGAAGCTGCAGAGAGCCCCAGGGGCTTCACTGCAGGCTTTCAAGTCAGATCACTGGCTAGCAGGACGAACTTCTTGCTTGGGAGTTGCCTTCAGGGAAAACATTGGAGTCGCAAGTTGCTTTTTGTTTATTGGTTATGTTTTTCTCCTGGAATGGGTGATTGAGGGGGGAGGTCAGCATGGAGGAGTAGCTGAGAATGGACTTGGAAGGTTTTGTGAGTTGGAGGGCTAAAGGAGACCTTAGGGATTGTCTGGCCCAACCGCTTCATTTTTGACAAAGTATAAATGAGGACAAGAGGAGGTGAGGGATATGGCGAAGGGTACAGAGCCAGTAAGTACCTGAAGCAGGTCCTGAGCCCAGGTTTCTCTTACTTGACACCCTAGTTGGCTTATATGTTGACATCTGTCTCCTTTGACGTCCAAGTTTCATAGGCAGAAGATCCCTCAGAAAGCATTGCCAAAAAAGAGCTTCCTGCCTAAATTGGGATTTATGTAGGCTACCCAGAGAGTTACCAGGGTGAGCCAGAGCAAATACCACCGCTTTCCTGAATGGGTTTCTTTCCTTTCTGAAATGGCAGGGGAGGGAGTGGATGATCTTCAGTGGCTTCACTCCTAGCCCTACTTGAATGTATTTCTGGAAGTTGGATGTGAAAGCCTAGGCAAGGTCCCTCTTTTCTGCCCTCAGAAAACACCCCGTCTAGTGTGGGGGGAGAGGAGTCTCTGGGACATACTCAACTTGATGTAGGTTGGGCAAAGGAGGAAGGGCTAGATGAAAGGGGGATCCAAAACAGCTTGCTGCAGTTGGCCTTTCCAAGATGGGAAAGAGGGTGGAAAGTGATCACACAGCCAAGGTATCAATTGTAGGCTGAACAAAGGGACTCCTGTGGGCTAAATGAGTTTCCTGGAGGAGTAAGGGTGAGGACAGGAATCTGAATAACACCTTGACCAAAGCTCATGTGCCCTTTTCTTTGCCAACCTTAGCAGGTCTATGAGGTTCTTCTCAGGAAGAGGGATTCTTCCCCAGCTTGTTGAGATCATTCTCAAGGACAGCTCTAAAATCATGTCCCTGATGCCAAATGTCTGAAGGAGAAGAAGATGGGGCAAGCAACTAAATCAAATTGTATGTGGAAATGATGCCACTAATACAGGAGTTCAGGAGTCCTGGAATGCTTTATCAAAAGTCTCAGTGTCTGGTCCCACACCAGTGACAATTATAGAAAAGAAAGCAGAGGTAAAAGAAATGTGGCTTACAATAAAAACTCCTCCAGGCTTAAGTGTTCTTCTCTTACTCATGATTGAAAATGGGATGTGTGTTGAAGAAAGGGCTAAGGATCTCTCTTCCTCTCTGTCTCTGTCTGTGTCTCTCTCTGTCACACACACACAGACACACACACACACACACACACACACAGAGACAGAGCACACTGCCCCCCCTATGCAATCATTTCATATGGAATTTAAACTGAGAGAAATCATTTGTAATTGGGAGGTGAAGAACGGGTGTTCTATAGTGTTGTGCCTAACACTTGACTTACTTTCTAAGGAAAAAGATGGGAGAGCCATAGGCAAAACAGCTTTGGAACATACACTCATTTGTCACATCTCATGGAAAAAGTGGTTGAAAAATAGGGACTTTTGTTATGGATGGGTATTCATATTCTCTCAATGTTGACAAATATGAGTACTTACCTATTCTCTATAGTCATATATATTTATACTGATATTTTCTCTCTAGATTCTTGTATATGAATACTCCACTATTATCTAAGTGTCTTCATACAGCAATACTTATGTATCCTTTCTTTAGATCCATACACACACATATGTACTTCTCTGTTCTCTATTCATATATGTCAACAATCATGAATTGAGAAGATGCATTCCCATTCATGTACTTCTCTATCGCTCAGTATCATCTATTTTTATTCACACATCTTTCTCCATTTATTGACGTATAATATGCATATATTCTCTATTTTCACATAAATAAGTACTCAACTGCACTGGCCGGGGTCCCCATGCTTTATCTTCTACTGAGATCAGGCAGCCAGGGTCATACTCACCATGAGTCTTCAGAGCCTACCCGGATACACGAAAGGACGAGTCAATCAATCAGGAGGTGTTTAACTTTTTATTACTAAAAAGCCATGAGGGAGAGAGAGAGAGAAATCATCAGACAGAGAAGCAAAAAGCCAGAGCCAGAGAGAGGGAGCAAGTGGGAGGAACGGGTAGGGTAAAGCGTGCGATCCAAGGAAAGAGTAGAAAGGGCCCCTCCCGTCACCAGACCAAGCCACTTATACTCTGCAATCCAATCCTGCCTCCACACTCGTGAAGAGCAGTCACAATGCACAGGTGGCCAATGACGAAGACTTGGCTAGAACCCATAGGTCTAACCACCTCAAAGGACACTGAGTGGGCTTGTCGATGGAGTCGTGGCAACAGTCCAGTACTCTGCCGCCTCAACCATGTCAGGTCAACCCATACGTATGCGTAACTCTCATTCTGTTAGGAGGATGAGTATCACATCGTGGACATATTCGTGACCAGCCCAGAACGGTGGGCCCTAACAACTCCCCCTTTTTTGTTTAAGGACGGTGAGGTCGTGGTCTCATCACCACAAATTCTGCCTAAAGTTGCACAATAGCAGATTTAAGCAAATGCACAAAACACACAAGAAGGGAAGGTAACAGGAGAAAAAGGAAAATGATAGCGAACCCAAGGGAAATAAGATGTCCCAACCACCCAGCCACTGGAGAGTACACATGTCCCATCCGGTCTGTAATCTTCTTAATGGCATCATTAGAATTGTCATGCATTTATGTTGTGGTGTTCTTAGACAATTCTACCAATCGTCTCAACGCCTGTATCTCCAAAGTCATATTAGTGGATTGAATGGCACTCAAAGTTGCCTGTTGCTCACACCAATGAGACACGCGTGTCTCATTGATGATAGTATCATTACAGCTTGACTGTAAAGGGGTCACGCAGGCGGTCAGGTATCTTCCATCACAAGGGAGTTGATTCAATAATTCCTGCCAAAGCAACTCATTACTAAGCTGGCGAGTCACTCTGGCCAGTGCCTGGATCTGAAATTCCAGTTGTTGATCTATCTGCACCTGTCTTTCAAGAGCTTCTTGTAGAAGTCGTGCTTGTTGCTCTATTTGTGAAGCTAAAATCTCATTTTCAGCATACAAGTCCTGTATTTGAAACTCTTCAAAAATGCTTGCCCCCAAAGCAAGGGCACCTAGAAAGTCTCGTTTTTTCCTGTCTAAGGCGTTGGCCATGCGTGCTATATACTAATCTGCCTTGGAGCTATACCAGTCATTCGGGCTTAAGGCACTCAGGTAAGTAACATGTCTTATGCCCACCAGGAACACAGTCACATTCACAGGAAGGGCCTCAGCCCCAATGGCATTGGTTAAATTACAGTCTTTAGTCTGCAAGCAAAACACTGGCAGACCGAGTTCCACTCCCTTCACTGCAGCTCATACTTTATCTTCAAAACACCAAGAAATCCGTAACCTTGAGGTGTAATCGCCTGTCTCTGGAACCGATATCTCATCACATCACATCCGGTTCCACGACTTGAACGGATACTGAAATTGGCAACCTCTGCTCCGTAATACGCACGAAACTGCTGAAGGGTGAGGTCTGTGCATGGTGTTCCTATACATTGACACATCATAGAGTTCATTGAAACATCCTGAATCATAAGCCATGGCAATCTTCCAAAGTCCAACATGAGGAACCCCTCGGTAGTTGAGTACTGCCTCTGGATGTTTTTAGGCTGGAGTGTACTCATCTTTGTTCATATTTAGAAAATTAATAGCCAATTAAAAAATTAATAGCCAATTGTCAAAAATTAATAACCAATTATCAATGAGGGGTAATAGCCCAGATTCCCCCTTTTTTGTTTAAAAAGAATAATTTTAATATCATCATTATTAATAATATAAAATGTTTGTGATCAGAGAAATGTTATAAAAAGCATAAAAGATAGAAAATGTTTTGCTAATGGAAGCTCAGGCACGTTATCTGTTTTGATTCATTTAAGTATACTCATAACTGTGAAGGCTTGGAAAATATGATTGATCACATATTTAATTGTACCACTCGTTGGTAAAGTGGCAAAAATGAAAGAAAAAGTATCCATTATAACATGAATATTAAAAAGCTTCTCAAAAGAAGGCATATAGGTTACATCCAATTGTCAAATATGTTTGGGAGAAAAGCCTCTTGATAGATTTGAAACAGGCTATTAAAAAATAATCATTATTCTTTATACCAAGTTTCCAATACTGTAGGAGTTTATTCAAAAATAGTCACAAAATGTTTTCTTCTCTACAGTTAAGGTTGTTGTATTGGGAGAATATAGTTAATAAAAGGCTCAATAAAAGCTTAATAAAAGTTAAGTGGAAGCATTGTAGTTAAGAATCAATAATGCCATTGCTTTCAGTATATAATTGTGTACTAGTAATATATTTTAGCTTTGCAGTCTCTATATTTTGAGAGACATAAGCAGATTACTTGTTATCAGAAACAACATTAATAGCCTCATAATATCTTGCTATACCTGTACTTAACCCACCGATGAATGTCATGGGTGCTGACAGTATGGGGTTAAATCTAACAATCTTTTTGAAATACTTATGAATAATTAGTTAAAAATGTTAATATCTTAAGAAATGGTAAGTAATTATCAATATCAATACCACCAGAAAAATAGTAATAACAATTTTCCAGTCCTCTAAAGAGGAAACAAGAGTACCTATTTGTCTTTTATAGTAAGGTTGATTAATAACAGAAAGTAAATTTCTTATAAGTTAAAAATCGTAGGGGACACTGGAGTACTAAGAATAGCACCTGGTACCTCTTCATATAAAAAATATGGGTGAGTTGAGCTTCAGGAATTTTACCGTTTGACTAAATAAAGCTCCCGTCTTGCTTCAGGAGTTAATATCCTAGGGGAATTTAGATTAGGATCTTCTCTAAATGTAAAAAGAAATTAGCCAGTTGTTCTGCAGTAATTTGGAGTGGTGGTAGAAACCAATTAATATCTCCTAAAAGTTTTTGAAGATCATTAAGTGCTTTTAAAGAATTAAAGCATAAGTGTACCTTTTATGGCTTTACTGTTGATTCAGTGACAATATGACCTAGGTAGGAGAATGAAGATTTTTCTTAAACTTTTTCTTGGTCTATAATAAGCTTTTATTCTTGTAAAGCTACGTGAGGCTGAGGAAATAAATGTGTGAGTTTTCAGTGGAACAGCTAACAAAGTATGTCACTACATAGTGTATTATTTTTGCATTGAGAAATTTTTTTTGTAATTGGTTGCATAGCTTTATTAACAAAATTTTGACACATTGTAAGGCTGTTTTTCATGCCTTGAGTAAGGACTTTCTATTGAAAGCTGGTTGCAGGGTGTTCTGCATTAACACTGGGTATTGTAAAAGCAAAGTAACATATGTCAGCTTCTTGGAGTGGAATAGTTAAAAAAAATCTTTTAAATCAATAACTATCAAAGGCTAGGAAACAGAATTCATAATGGGTGAAGGGAGACTTCATTAATACCTCAGAGGTCGTGAAGCATCCTCTATTTCACTGACTTCATATTAATAACAAAAACAGGTGAATTCCAAGGATTTGTAAAAATTTCTATATGTCCTTTTAAAAGTCTTGTTCAACTAATTGTTTTACTGTAAAAAGCTTCCTATTTTGTCAAAAGCCACTGTTCCACCCAAACAAAATAACAGCTCCCCTAGATGTAAAATATCGTGCCCCCACAAATTAAAGGGAATTAATTGAGTAAATTCATCTTAAAATAATTGATTACTGGTGATCTACTAGGCAGGCTAAAGCTAATTAATATCTTTAAGAGTTTTTAAAGAATCTTTCCTATTTTGTAATATGTTGGGGATCTAATTATGGGCTGTGAAACAATATATCCAAAGTACACAAAGGGTGATTTCTTTTGTGCCTTATCAGGAGTAATTATAAATCTTTGAGACTGAAGAGCTTGTTAAAGCTCACACATTAATAAGGAAAGTTTGCCAGTGATAGAACAACTGCAAAATTTATCATCCATATAATAAATCATTTTTGTCTGAGAATATTTCTGCCTAACAAGTTTAAAAGTGGTATGAACAAAATTTTTGCACATGGCAGAAAACATTCCTTCTTAAAGGAACATAACAGGAAAACTTCAAATACTGATTTAATGGAGACAACTATACTGAAATTCAAACTCAAAACAAAATTAGTTATAGTCCTAAAAGTTTTTTACCTTAAGCAGTAAGTTTCACTAATCACGGCTTAAAGCCAGATATAGTCAATTTTATTCGCATGGAGTTGTAATAAGTAATAAAGATTTACCATGAGTCACATACATAATAGATTTCACTTAGCATCTTTCTTTCTCAAATTTAAACTTGTTCTGGTAAAAAGCCAATTATTAGGAATCATTTCATATAGTTGCAGCTTCTCAGTAAGTTAAATTAATTGTTTAGGAACTGCATAACATAAGCAAATTTTCTTCTCAGAGCAGATGACCTTGGAACAAAGCTGACAAGAGCTTTTGGCATTAATTGTTTAGGAACTGAATAACATAAACAAATTCTCTTCTCAGAGCAGGTGACCTTGGAACACAGGTGGCAGGAGCTTTTGGCAAGCTTACAAAGTTAAGGGAATTGCCTTGTGCCCCTCCTTTTCACTCAGAAGTAATGAAGAATTCTAGGTTTTAACTTAAAACAGTAACTGCAAATAACTTAGTTAACAATTTGGTAATTTTCATGAGTGATAGTTAAATTGTTTTAACTCTAAGTTGTTCTTCAATCATAGATAAATATGGAGATATCTGATTTTGTAAATGACAATTATAAAACATTGAGACAAAATTAACTGGACTTGATAAAATAATTTAGCTGCTTTTTACACAGCTTTCCCACTATCTTTCAGTCTTCTTTAATTCACATATTAATAACATCTAAATTATTAAAAATTGTTTGACATAGCACAAAACAATACAAAAGTTTACCAATTTGTAACGATACTAGATTTTTTTTAGAATTTGAAACAAGCATATTACTAATTTGAATGAGCTAAATTATCTTTTGATTGTGTTCTAAATACATAAAAAACTTTGCATTATGAACTGAGGGGGTGCACCCTCCTTTTCACTATTCTCATTCTGTCTCTCACACCCCAACTTGGCCAGGGTTGGAATGGAGAGAAAAGAAGAGAATATTTTCCAACAGCTTATCTTTGATAATCTTTCAATTTTACATCAAAGCTTTGGCCAGAGCTTTAGAATGGAAAAAAGAAAGAGAATTTCTTCCTAATAACTCTTCAAAAGTTTTCAAATCATTTATTCTCAAATACTCTGTTCATGCTATTAATGCAGACAGATTATGCTATTCTTTCTACCCCTATTTATCTCATTATTGCATGTTTAAACTTTCTTGTCTTTTATCAATCATATAATGTAAATAACAAAATATTTTTTCTCTCCATCTCACCCCCATCCACCCGCTCCCAGGAGGCAGCTGGTAGTAGGGCGGGGGAAAGAGAGAAAGGCACTAGCAGCATTTCAGAATCCAGTTGCAGCCCTTAGCTGCCTGGCAGAAAAGATCAAAACAAATGACAGACATTAATCGCAGACCATAATTCACACAGACACAGACAACCATAGAAAAAAAAGACAGGGAGAATCCAAAAGCGAGAAACTTGTCAGAAATCCCCTTTTTCTAAAGCCTGTTTACAAGCAAGGGTCAAAAGGAAGTTCCCCTGGGTTCAACAGGAGTCGCAGAGGGGGCAGGGCTCCGCCATTCTGAAGGAGGTGGGGGAAGTGCGCTGGAGCATCCCTCCCCCTCTTCTCCTTCTCTCCCAGACTGTACCCCCGCCCCTTCTCCTCCCTGTATTTCAATTTGAGATAAAAACCAGTCAAAGGCAGTTTCTTGTAACCTTGGAGCCTCCTTTCTTTTATTTGTGCCTCAGCATCCGTTTGGTGGGGGGGCACTTGGGGTCCATATAGCTGAGTTTTCAGTACTTTATAAATCAAATGTTGTAGGGGAGGAATAACCCCCGGATTGTCTCTATCAAACGAGGCCATTTGTGAGCCAACTACAGCCCACCTTTGCAAGTCAAGTCCGTTAACATGTACCCATGGGCAACAGCGAAAAACTGTGTCTACAAAAGCACGAGCGTCTTTAGGATCTAAGCCAAAGCCCACTCGCTTAACTAATTTTTGTATCTCCTTTCCTACCACCTCCCGATCCGAGACATTAACTAAAGCCTGGCCCATCTTCCCTTCACACAGAAGGGGCCTTGTCCTTCTTCTCTTAACCGGACCAGCCGAGTTAAGAGGCCCTGGCACTACTCACCCACCCCACGCTGGGCGCCACTTGCACCAGCAAGGATCGCCATGCTTTATCTCCTACTGAGATCAGGCAGCCAGGGTCATACTCACCACGAGTCTTCAGAGCCTACCCGGATACACGAAAGGACGAGTGGATCGGGAGGTGTTTAACTTTTTATTACAAAAAAGCCATGAGGGAGAGAGAGAGAGAGAAATCATCAGACAGAGAAGCAAAAAGCCAGAGCCAGAGAGAGGGAGCAAGTGGGAGGAAGGGGTAGAGTAAAGCCTGTGAGCCAAGGAAAGAGTAGAAAGAGCCCCTCCTGACACCAGACCAAGCCACTTATACTCCGCAATCCAATCCCGCCTCCATACTCATGAAGACCAATCACAATGTACAGGTGGCCAATGACGGAAACTTGGCTAGAACCCATAGGTCTAACCACCTCAAGGGACACTGAATGAGCGTGTCGATGGAGACGTGGCAACAGTCCAGTACTCTGCCGCCTCAATCACGTCAGCTCAACCCATACGTATGCGTAACTCTCATTCCGTTAGGAGGACAAGTATCACATCATGGACATATTCGTGACCAGCCCAGAACGGTGGGCCCGAACATTCAACTGTTCTTTCTCTTTATATATATATGAGTCCTCATTTTCTCTCTCCATATGTATATGCTGTTATAGGAAACATATTCTTTCTCATCATATGAGTCCACATCTTCTCCCACAGGGAAACGGTGGGATACTTGTTGATATATAAAGACAAAAAATGCTCACACTTGAATGAAGAAAAAAATAGAGAAGTACCATTCAGTTGTTTTTTCAGTCATTTGTGACACTTTGTGGTGCATTTTGAGGCTTTCCTGGCGCAGATTCTGGAGTGGTTTCTCATTTCCCCCTGCAGCTCATTTTACAGAAAAGAAAACTGAGGCAAACAGGGTGAAGTACTTGGCCAGGGTCACATAGCCCAGGGTGACATCTGAAACTGCATTTAATTCAGGTCTTGCTGAGCCCACACCAGATACTATCCACTGAACCACCTAGACAGTAAATGTGTAGCCATGTCAGAGGCTCTACCAGAAGTCCTTCATATGAGTGTAGAGAGAATACCTAAGTATTTCTCAGTATGAATATAGAAAGAGAATATGGGAGTTCTTCAATATTATGAACATAATGAAAACATAGAAAAAGACTTGGCCCACAACCACCACTGCCATTAAGGCTTAGCCCAGGACCACCCATGGCAGTGAGGTCTGGCTTAGGACCATGTTCAGTAAGGCCTGGCCCAGGATCACCACTGCTAGTAAGGCCTGACCCGGGACCACTGTCATTAAGGCCTGGGCCAGGACCACTGCTGCTAGTAAGGCCTGGCCTAGGACCATCATCAGTAGGGCCTTTCCCAGGACCACCGCTGCCAGCAAGGCAAGTCATAGGTCCATCGTCAGTATGGCCTGACCCAGAACCACTACTACCAGTAAGGCCTGGCACAGTCCCACCATCTGTAAAGCCTGGCCCAGGACCAGTGCTACTAGTAAGGCCTGGCCTAAGACCACCATCATCAAGGTCTGGTCCAGTTCCATCGCTGCCACTAAGGCCTGGCCCAGGACCGCCATCAGTAAAGCGTGTCCCAGGACCATGCCTGCCACTACGGCATGGCACACGACCACCGCTGCCAGTAAGGCCTGGCTTAGGACCACCTTCAGTAAGACCTGGCCCAGGACCACGTTCATTAAGGACTGGTGCAGGAGCATCGCAGCCAGTAAGTCCTGGCACAGGAATACCACGGCCAAAAAGGCCTGACAAAGGACCACCACTGCCAATAAGACCTGGCCCGGGACCACCACTGCCAGTAAGGCCTGGCTTAGGACCACCTTCAATAAGGCCTGGGCCAGGACCACCACAAACATTAAGGCCTCAGCCAGGACCCCCGCTAGGCCTTACTGAAGGTTGTCCCAAGACAGGCCTTAGTGGCAGTGGTGGTCCTGGCAAGGCCTTACTGAAGCTGGTCCTAAGCCAGGCCTTACTAGCAGGGGTGGTCCTAAGCCAGGCCTTACTAGCAGGGGTGGTTCTGGGCCAGGCCTTACTGACGGTGGTCCTAGACCAGGCATACAGGTAGGGGTGGTTCTAGGACAGGCCCAACTGACGGTGGTCCTGGGAAAGGCTTTAGTTTCAGCAGTGGTCCTGGACCAGGCCTTTCTGGGGGCAGGGGTTCTGGGGCAGACCTGACTGATGGTGGTCCTGGGGTAGGCCTTATTGGCAGCGGTGGTCCTGGGCCAAGTCTTACTGACACTGGTCCTGGGACATGCCTTACTGTCAGTGGTGTTCCAGGGCCAGCCCCTTCTGGCCGCGGGGGTCCTGGGCCAGGCCTTACTGACTGTGGTCCTGGGGTAGGTCTTATTGGCAGCGGTGGTAATGGACTAAGCCTTACGGTCAGCGGTGGTCCTGGGCCATGCCGTAGTGGAAGGGGTGGTCCTCGGCCAGAACTTACTGATGGGGGTCCTGGGCCAGTTCTGACTGATGGTGGTCCTGGACTTCGCCTAACTGGTAACAGTGGTCTTGGGCAAGCCTTACAGGCAGTGGTGGTCCTGTGCCAGGCCTTACTGGCTGTGAGGGTCCTGGCCCAGTCCTTAATGATGATGGTCCTGGGCCAGGCGTTATTGTCAGCTGTGGTCCTGGGTCAGGCCTTACTGACGGTGGTCCTAGACCAGGCATTACAGGTAGGGGTGGTTCTAGGACAGGCCCAACTGACGGTGGTCCTGGGCCAGGCCTTAGTTTCAGTGGTGGTCCTGGGCCAGTCCTTTGTGGTGGCAGGGGTCCTGGGGCAGACCTGACTGATGGTGTTCCTGGGATAGGCCTTACTGGCAGCTGTGGTCCTAGGCCAAGCCTTACGGGCAGTGGTGGTCCTGGGCCAGGCCTTACTGGCAGTAGTAGTCTTGGGCCAGGCCTTACTGTGAGTGGTGGTCCTTTGTCAGGCCTTTCTGGCCACAGTATTCCTGTGCCAGGCCTTACTGCTTGTGATGGTCATGGCCCAGTCCTTAATGACAGTGGTCATGGGGCAGGCCTTATTAGCAGCGGTGGTCCTGGCCCAGGCCTTAATGACAATGGTCCTGGGCCAGGCCTTACTGGCAGTGGTGGTCCTTGGCCAGGCCTTACTAAAGGTGGTCCTAAGCCAGGCCTTACTAGCAGCAGTGGTCCTGGGCCAGGCCATAGTGGCAGGCGTGGTCCTGGGGCAGACCTTATTGATGGGGGTCCTGAGCAAGGCTTTAGTGGCAGCAGTCGTCCTGGCCCAGGCCCTACTGACAGTGGTCATATTCCAAGCCTTACTAACAGCAGTGGTCCTGGCCCAGGCCTTAATGACAGTGGTCCTGAGCCAGGCCTTACTAGCAGTGGTGGTCCTTGGCCAGGCCTTACTAAAGGTGGTCCTAAGCCAGGTCTTACTGGCAGCAGTGGTCCTGGGCCAGGCCATACTGGCAGGGGTGGTCCTGGGCTAGACCTTACTGATGGGGGTCCTGAGCGAGGCCTTAGTGGCAGCAGTGGACCTGGAGCAGACCTTGCTCATGGTGATCCTAGGCCAGACCTTACTAGCAGCGGTGGTCCTTGGCCAGGCCTTAATGAGAGTTGTCCTGGGCCAGGCCTTACTGGTAGTGGTGGTTCTGGGCTAGGCCTTACTGGTAGTGGTGGTTCTGGGCCAGGCTATACTGACGTTGGACCTATGACTTGCCTTACTGGCAGCGGTGGTCCAGGGACAGGTCCTACTGACGATGGTCCTAGGCCAGGCTTTATTAGCAGCAGTGGTCCTGGCCCAGGCCTTAATGATGGTGGTCCTTACTAGCAGCGGTGGTCGTCTGCCAGGCCTTACTGAAGGTGGTCCTAAGACACATCTCACTGGCATGGGTGGTCCTGGGCTAGGCCTTAATGGCTGTGGTGGTCCTGGCCCAGGCCTTAATGACAGTGGTCCTGGGCCAGGTCTTAATAGCAGCGGTGGTCCTGGGTCAGGCCTTATGGAAGTTGGTGCTAAGCCAGGCCTTACTGGCAGTGGTGGTCTTGGGACAGGCCTTAGTGACGGTGGTCCCAGGACAAGCCTTACTGACAGCAGTGGTCCTGGGCCAGGCCGTACTGGCAGGGGTGGTCCTGGTCCAGGTCTTACTGACAGGGTTCCTGGGCCAGGCCTTACTAACAGTGGTCCTAGGCCAGGCCTTACTGGCAGGGGTGGTCCTGTGCCAGGCCTTACTGGCAGAGGTGGTCCTGTGCAAGTCCTTACTGGCAGTGGTGGTCTTGGACCAGGCCTTACTGGCTGTGGTGGTTCTAGGCCAGGCCATACTGACGGTGGACCTGGGCCTTGCCTTACTGGCAGTAGTGGTCGTGGGCCAGGCCTTACTGACACTGGTCCTGGGCCAGGCCTTACTGTCAGTGGTGTTCCAGGGCCAGCCCTTTCTGGGGTCAGCGGTCCTGGGGCAGGCCTGACTGATGGTGGTCCTGGGGTAGGCTTTACTGGCAGTGGTGGTCCTGGGCCAAAGCTTACTGGCTGTGATGGTCCTACCCCAATCCTTAATGAAGGTGGTCCTGGGCCAGGCCTTACTAGCAGTGGTGGTCCTGGGCCAGGCCTTACTGAAGGTGGTCCTAAGGCAGGCCTTTCTGGCCACGGTATTCTTGTGCCAGCACTTACTGGCTGTGATGGTCCTGGCCCAGTCCTTAATGAAGATGGTCCTGGGCCAGGCCTTACTAGCAGTTGTGGTTCTGCACCAGGCAATACTGAAGGTGGTCCTAAGTCAGGCCTTACTGGCAGCGGTGTTCCTCGGCCATGCCGTAGTGGAAGGGGGGGTCCTGGGCCAGGCCTTAGTGGCAGTGATGGAACTGGACCAGGCCTTACTGATGGTGGTCCTAGGCCAGGCCTTACAGATGGTGGTCATAGGTCAGGCCTTACTAGCAGCAGTGGTAATGGGCCTGGCTTTACGGTTGGTGGGACTGCGCGAGGCCTTACTGCTAGTGGTGGTTCTGGGCCAAGCCATACTGATGATCGACCTATGACTTGCCTTACTGGCAGCAGTGGTCCTGGGACAGGCTCTACTGACTATGGTCCTAGGCCAGACCTTACTAGCAGCAGTGGACCTGGCCCAGGCCTTAATGACAGTGGTCCTGGGCGAGGCCTTACTAGCAGCGGTGGTCGTGGGCCAGGCCTTACTGAAGGTGGTCCTAAGCCAGATCTCACTGGCATGGGTGGTCCTGGGGTAGGCCTTGATGGCAGTGGTGGTCGTGGGCCAGGCATTTCTGGCCACGGGGGTCCTGGGTCAGGCCTTAATGGCTGCAGTGGTCCTGGCCCAGGTCTTAATGACAGTGGTCCTGGGCCAGGCCTTATTAGCAGCGGTGGTCCTGGGCCAGTCCTGACTTATGGTGGTCCTGGGCTAGGTCTTACTGGCAGCAGTGGTCCTGGGCTAGGCCTTACTGAAGGTTGTC